TCGTTCGTAGAGGCATACAACTCCCTGGCTGTTTCTGCGTGCTACCAGCGAGTCCATAGAGGCTGGTGAACCCGTCTCTACTGATGGTGGCTTCTACCTGGAAATCACGGTTACCTCCAGTCCCGAGGCCTTTGACGAAGAACTTACATCGTCCGAGGCTGAGTTCCTTCAGCAGTTCAACGCGGTGATCCTTGGAATTGATCCTTTTGCCTTGTCTTTGAGTACTGAGTCCACAGGCAGCCCATCAGTGCAGGGGGACTATTTCATTTCTTTCAGTGGTCCCACCACTGGTTGGACAGACCAAGAAATGACTGATGCGTTCGTAGAGGCATACAACTCCCTGGCTGCTTTTTTTTATACTGGTGCTACCATCGAGTCCATAGAGGCTGGTGAACCCGTCTCTACTGATGGTGGCTTCTACCTGGAAATCACGGTGACCTCCAGTCCCGAGGCCTTGGACGAAGAACTTACATCGTCCGAGGCTGAGTTCCTTCAGCAGTTCAACGAGGTGATCCTTGGAATTGATCCTGTTGCCTTGTCTTTGAGTACTGAGTCCCCAGGCAGCCCATCAGTGCAGGAGGACTATTTCATTTCTTTCAGTGGTCCCACCACTGGTTGGACAGACCAAGAAATGACTGATGCGTTCGTAGAGGCATACAACTCCCTGGCTGGTTCTGGTGCTACCATCGAGTCCATAGAGGCTGGTGAACCCGTCTCTCTACTGATGGTGGTTTCTACCTGGAATTCACGGTGACCTCCAGTCCCGAGGCCTTGGACGAAGACCTTACATCGTCCGAGGCTGAGTTCCTTGGGCAGTTCAATGAGGAGATCCAAGGAATTGATCCTGTTGCCTTGTCTTTGGGTACTGAGTCCCCAAGCAGCAGCCCATCAGTGCAGGAGGACTATTTCATTTCGTTCGGTGGTCCCGCCACTGGTTGGACAGACCAAGAAATGACTGATGCGTTCGTGGAGGCATACAACTCCCTGGCTGGTTCTGGTTCTACCATCGAGGCCATAGAGGCTGGTCAGCCAGTCTCCACTGACGGTGGTTTCTACCTGGAATTCACGGTGACCTCCAGTCCCGAGGCCTTGGACGAAGACCTTACATCGTCCGAGGCTGAGTTCCTTCAGCAGTTCAACGAGGTGATCCTTGGAATTGATCCTGTTGCCTTGTCTTTGAGTACTGAGTCCCCAGGCAGCCCATCAGTGCAGGAGGACTATTGCATTTCTTTCAGTGGTCCCACCACTGGTTGGACAGAACAAGAAATGACTGATGCGTTCGTAGAGGCATACAACTCCCTGGCTGGTCCTGGTGCTACCATCGAGTCCATAGAGGCTGGTAACCCGATCTTCTACTGATGCGTGGCTTCTGACCTGGAATTCACGGTTGACCTCCCAGTTCCGAGGCCTTGGACGAAGAACTTACATCGTCCGAGGCTGAGTTCCTTCAGCAGATCAACGAGGTGATCCTTGGAATTGATCCTGTTGCCTTGTCTTTGGGTACTGAGTCCCCAAGCAGCAGCCCGTCAGTGCAGGAGGACTATTTCATTTCTTTCAGTGGTCCCACCACTGGTTGGACAGACCAAGAAATGACTGATGCGTTCGTAGAGGCATACAACTCCCTGGCTGGTTCTGGTGCTACCATCGAGTCCATAGAGGCTGGTGAACCCGTCTCAACTGATGGTGGCTTCTACCTGGAAATCACAGTGACCTCCAGTCCCGAGGCCTTGGACGAAGACCTTACATCGTCCGAGGCTGAGTTTCTTCAGCAGTTCAACGAGGTGATCCTTGGAATTGATCCTGTTGCCTTGTCTTTGAGTACTGAGTCCCCAGGCAGCCCATCAGTGCAGGAGGACTATTTCATTTCTTTCAGTGGTCCCACCACTGGTTGGACAGACCAAGAAATGACTGATGCGTTCGTAGAGGCATACAACTCCCTGGCTGGTTCTGGTGCTACCATCGAGTCCATAGAGGCTGGTGAACCCGTCTCTACTGATGGTGGCTTCTACCTGGAAATCACGGTGACCTCCAGTCCCGAGGCCTTGGACGAAGACCTTACATCGTCCGAGGCTGAGTTCCTTCAGCAGTTCAACGAGGTGATCCTTGGAATTGATCCTGTTGCCTTGTCTTTGAGTACTGAGTCCCCAGGCAGCCCATCAGTGCAGGAGGACTATTTCATTTCTTTCAGTGGTCCCACCACTGGTTGGACAGACCAAGAAATGACTGATGCGTTCGTAGAGGCATACAACTCCCTGGCTGGTTCTGGTGCTACCATCGAGTCCATAGAGGCTGGTGAACCCGTCTCTACTGATGGTGGCTTCTACCTGGAAATCACAGTGACCTCCAGTCCCGAGGCCTTGGACGATGTAAGTTCTTCGTCCAAGGCCTCGGGACTGGAGGACACCGTGATTTCCAGGTATAAGCCACCATCAGTAGAGACGGGTTCACCAGACTCTATGGACTCGATGGTAGCACCAGAACCAGCCAGGGAGTTGTATTCCTCTACGAACGCATCAGTCATTTCTTGGTCTGTCCCACCAGTGGTGGGACCACTGAAATGAAATGAAATAGTCCTCCTGCACTGATGGGGCTGCCTGGGGACTCGTACCAAAGACAAGTCAAACGCAGGATCAATTCCAAGGATCACCTCGTGAACTGCTAGAAGAAACTCAGCTTCGGACGATGTAAGTCTTCGTCCAAGGCCTCGGACTGGAGGTCACCGTGATTTCCAGGTAGAAGCCACCATCAGTAGAGACGGGTTCACCAGCCTCTATGGACTCGATGGTAGACCAGAACCAGCCAGGGAGTTGTATGCCTCTACGAACTCATCAGTTCATTTCTTGGTATGTCCAAGCCAGTGGTGGGACCGCACTGAAAGAAATTGAATAGTCCTCCGGCACTGATGGGCTGACTGGGTGACTCAGTACTCAAAGACAAGCAACAGGCATCAAATTCCAAGGATCACCTCGTTGAACTGCTGAAGAGAACTCAGCCTCGGACTGATGTAAGGTCTTCGTCCAATGCCCTCGGGACTGGAGGTCACTCGTGATTTCCAGGTAGAAGCCACCATCAGTTGAGACGGGTTCACCAGCCTCTATGGACTCGATGGTAGCACCAGAACCAGCAGCGAGTTGTATGCCTCTACGAACGCATCAGTCATGTCTTGTCTGTCCAACCAGCGGTGGGACCACTGAAGAAATGAAATAGTCCTTCTGCACTGATGGGCTGACCTGGGGACTCAGTACTCAAAGAAAGCAACAGGATCAATTCCAAGGATCACCTCGTTGAACTGCTGAAGGAACTCAGCATCGGAGATGTAAGTCTTCGTCCAAGGCCTCGGGACTGGAGGTCACCTTGATCCAGTAGAAGCCACCATCAGTAGAGACGGTTCCCAACCTCTATGACTCGATGGTGAACCAGACCAAGGGAGTTGTAGCCTCTACGAACGCATCAGTCATTTCTTTGTCTGTCCAACCAGTGGTGGGACCACCGAACGAAATGAAAAAGTCCTCCTGCACTGATGGGCTGACACGGGGACTCAGTACTCAAGACAAGGCAACAGGATCAATTCCAAGGATCACCTCGTTGAACTGCTGAAGAAACTCAGCTCGGACGATGTAAGTGTCTTCGTCAAGGCCTCGGGACTGGAGGTCACCGTGATTTCCAGGTAGAAGCCACATCAGTAGAGACGGGTTCACCAGCCTCTATGGACTCGATGGTAGCACCAGAACCAGCCAAGGAGTTGTATGCCTCTACGAACGCATCAGTCATTTCTTGGTCTGTCCAACCAGTGGTGGGACACTGAAAGAAATGAAATAGTCCTCCTGCACTGATGGGCTGCCTGGGGACTCAGTACTCAAAGACAAGGCAACAGGATCAATTCCAAGGATCACCTCGTTGAACTGCTGAAGAACTCAGCCTCGGACGATGTAAGTTCTTCGTCCAAGGCCTCGGACTGGAGGTCACCGTGATTTCCAGGTAGAAGCCACCATCAGTAGAGACGGGTTCACCAGCCTCTATGGACTCGATGGTAGCACCAGAACCAGCCAGGGAGTTGTATGCCTCTACGAACGCATCAGTCATTTCTTGGTCTGTCCAACCAGTGGTGGGACCACTGAAAGAAATGTAAATAGTCCTCCTGTACTGATAGGCTGTCCTGGGGACTCAGTACTCAAAGAAAGGCAACAGGATCAATTCCAAGGATCACCTCTTGAACTGCTGAAGGAACTCAGCCTCAGACGATGTGAAGTCTTCGTCCAAGGCCTCGGACTGGAGGTCACCGTTATCCAGGTAGAAGCCACATCAGTAGAGACGGGTTCACCAGCCTCTATGGACTCGATGGTAGCACCAGAACCACCAGGGATTGCCTCTACGAAGCATCAGTCATTTCTTTGTCTGTCCAACCATGGTGGACCACTGAAAGAAATGAAAAGTCCTCTGCACTGATGTGCTGCCTGGGGACTCAGTATCAAAGACAAGGCAACAGGATCAATTCCAAGGATACCTCGTTGAACTGCTGAAGAAACAGCCTCGGACGATGTAAGTCTTCGTCCAAGGCCTCGGGACTGGAGGTACCGTGATTTCCAGGTAGAAGCCACCATCAGTAGAGACGGGTTCACCAGCTCTATGGACTCGATGGTAGACCAGAACCAGCCAGGGAGTTGTATGCCTCTACGAACGCATAGTCATTTCTTGGTCTGTCCAACCAAGTGGGACCACTGAAAGAAATGAAATAGCCTCCTGCACTGAGGCAGGGTCTCTGTTGGTGTCCGCGTTTGCCTAGTGTTGGCAGACTCGTGATTTGTTGGGATGGATTGCTTGTAGGATCCATTGTTGGAATGGGGGTTGAGTTTTCAGTTGGTGAAATGGTTGATTCGATTCAGGCTTACTAGTGGATCTGTGAGCTGGTTGGTAGTGACATGTTGGGTTCCGTTGGTTCAAAGTGGGTTTGAATGGGAATGTTAAAGGTTGCACCTTAGGGTTGGTAGATGTCCTTATGGATGAGCCGGATGATGAATCTGTGTTGGTGAAATCATTTAATGCTTTCAGTGTGGATGGAGTTATGGTTGCCCTGGATATGGTAGGATATGTGGATACAGGGGAAGAAGATGGATTGCTTCCATCCTGGGCAGCACCTTTATTGATGTTGTTGCAAACTCCTGATGAAGCACGGGGCCCGGCAAACATTTGCATACCAGCACATGTCTCTGGTGACAGCATCTCTCTTGTTGGCACCACTGTGGATGTAACTTTTGTGGGTGGAGCCAAATTTGAAAGTGCTCCCAGAGATGGTGAATTTGCTGACATGTCAGCACTTGGGCTGACTGGGTCTCCGCTACTAGATGGCGCGCTGGCAATGCCTGCTGGTGATGGAGCCTGAGGAACAGCACCAGTCGTTGGGAGAATGGCTGGGGGGTTGGGTATTGCTGGCACACTAGCTTCAGGTGGGGTGTTTGTCTGGTCCACATTAGAAGGAGCCATTGACTGAGCCACACTTGGTGCTGCATTGCCGTTGGCTGGTGTTGACGCTGGTTTCACAATGGATGGCAACATGGGATTGATACTTGCTGTAGGTGGTGCTATAGAGTTTGGTCCGTAGCTTGGCCCTTGTTCTTGCTGCTGGTTGCCATTGGCTTGATCTTTATTGGCCATCGAGAACGAGGGACTTGTTGCTGCTGGAGCAAAAGTGCCAGCATTTCCGCTTGGGTTTTTGGTAGCAATGTGGTTGGTGGCAACAGAACTGGTTGGACCAGAAACAGCAGATGGCCCAGTTCCTCCCTGATTGGATACTCCACTAGGGCTTCCTACAGCTGATGGGACATTGGGCAGCTCGTTGTTGGAACTTGCTTCTGTGCTTCCGGCGTTTGTGGGTGCAGCTACTGTTGCGTTTGACTCTGTGCTGGTAGTTTTGGTAGGAAGATTGGCATCTTAGAGTAGGCGGCCCTGTGTTGGAAGTGGCTGTAGGAGCAGATGCAACAGTTGAAGAAGGAGAACCTGGTACTAGTCTGTCCAGTTCTGAGTCACTTGTGTTTTCATTCCAAACTGTGTCTAACCTCGGAATCAGCTCAATCATATCACCAGGTCCCAAATGTTGAGGCTGTTCTGGGAGTCTCTCTCCTGTCGAGGGATCCACCAGTGCCACAAGCAATACGTCTATGGGCGCATCTTCTTGTTCTGACTGTGGTGGGCTGGTCATTGGGTCAGTTTCTTGTGTTTGATCTTCGGTAGTCAGAATGGGTTGGATTGCTTGAGTAAACTGGTCAACAAAATCATCAACAGCGTACCAGGATCAAGTTGGGGACTCGGTGCTGTATTGGTTCCGAAAAGTGGGTCTGTGTCAGAGCATCCACTGCACTGAACATCGGCAACCCAAAAGGTATTGGTGAAATTGTCCTCTTCAGATGACTCAACCTGCATAAGTTGGACACCACCAGGTGGAATACGGGGAATATCGCATTGATCAATGAGGGCACCATTGGTGGAATTGGCAGTGATAATTGTTGTAGACTTGGGCAAAAGTATCTTCCAATTCTTCTTTGTTCTCTAAGAGCATTCACCGGTGGCAGGTGTGGCAACAGTACTGCTTGTGTATGACGAAGAAAAGACAATTTGCATGACACCTTGCTTGACATCAGTGGCTTCAATGCTACCAGCGCAGGGGCCAAAAGTGTGTCGCTGCCACTGCTGATTCCTGCGGCAATTCCCGAGTAGTAGCAGCCACTGTGATGGCCGCCGCCACAATGAGCCAATCTTGGTAGGCGTGGAAAGAGCCGAGACGGCAGCTGTCATGGATGATGCCCCAACTCCTGCAGCAGCCGACTGACTTGCCATGACTCTGCTCCTATTCCAATGGCTGCTGATTGGGAAGCTGCTACAGCCATGTCTTGCACGTGATTGTTGTCCTCAGGTGGCAGCGGTCCATCAGCGTCGTTGTTCTTCTTTCGCAAGAAGCCGAACATGCCTAGACAGTAGCTGAGAAGGAGCCTGGGCCAAGTACAGGCGCCATACACCATGTCATAGGCAGCGCTGTACATGGCCTCAAAAGCCACATACTGCATGGCGTTGTTGCGGATACCGCTCATATCCATACTGGAAATGGAAAAGTCAAAGTTGCTGGGAGACTCACTCCAAGCATCATCATCATCATCGTTCTTATTCTTTGGGTCGTCGTCTGGGTCATCATCATCGTTCTCCTTGTCTCCGCCTTCCATGGCACCTGCTTCAGCCAGAGGTCAACTGGGTACACGGGACCATCAGGAGCAGCCAAGAGGTCCTAGTGGAGAGCAGCATCTGCGATCGAAAAGGATCAAAAGCCGTACCTGCCGCATCAACCATTCCGGAATCAGCAGGAATCGAGTTAGGATCAGGTACAGTAATCTCCTCTTCTTCCTCGTTGTCGTTGGGAGAAGACCAAAGAGAGTTCATCTTGTTATCTTGTGTACTTGGTTAATAAGAAGTCTAAACTTATAGTTTGCTGTGATAAGAGCTGGTGAATGTAGTGCTTGTTGTTGTGCTGTCAGACAGGTGTATGCTTGCATGAATTTGCTGAAATTTGAAACGACAACGTAGGGAATCGAGAATGCATTTGGGCTTTCGACTTCGGGAGGGTTGCGGCCGGGTTAACTTGCACCAGGGTCCAAGGGAAGATTGAATGAATCGAATCATTTCCCGTGCCACGAAATCTCTAGCTGGCCAGAGCCATTCTCGTAACCACGGCGAGAATGCACGAAAGCAGCTATCTTGGACATTTATTTCGGGGAGTTGTAAGTCGGTGGTCAAAACTGGCATGGATATTTTTATTTAGAACTGGCATTGCTACTGGTAGCTCCCTTAATTCCTACTCGCCCCATAACTTTATGTCTTATGACATCTTAATGAGAATAGGATTAAACTATTTTAATAAAGCCTCGGAAAGTTCAAGTCTTACTAGCTAGGTATTAATAAGTCTTTGTCGGGCCTCGTTGGTCCAGTCAAACCTTTATGTCCTGTCCACTTGATCTTGGACAAATTGAAATCCCAGTGGCCACTATTCTAATATTACGATGTATTTTAATAGTACTGCATACCGGCTATACCGGTTAGTACATGGTACGACTGTACTGTACTGTACTGTACTGTACTGTACTGTACTGCACTGTACAGCAATCTTTTGGTCTTTGGATTTCTCATCGTATGCTTATATGTTTAGATCCCACGTGATCGTGCATCATGCCATCGTCGCTTTCTTCTTGGTCATTGATTGGCCTCCATTCGTTCCCGCATGCATAGTGGTGTCCAGCAAATAAATAATGGAGACGGTGGGGTAGAACAGGAATGAAACGCCGTCAAAATCATCCAGGACCTCCAAACACACCCATGGAGGTGCCCGTACGTCAGCACAATATCTCGGGACGGTCTGGCGAGTGGAGGTTATCTAAAGATTGTACATAAGTGTCTATACAAGATTAGCAGTGTGACGGATTGTACTGTAGTTTGCAATACTTAGGCAGATTCAAATTTTCACTCCTAACTCCATGGCGTCAGTTTCATTCTTGTAGAAGGTTCGAAGACTTAGCGACGTACCTCTACTGGTCACGCATCTTCTGATCGTCCTCACAATTTGAGGTCGTCCGTAGAAGGGTGCGCACATGGAGAGTTGGGAGCCAACAGTTGAATCTATCACTGCAACTACAAAACAATGAGGATCAATACTAGTGTTGCTTTTTCAAAGTGGTTGTTAGATAAGAGTTTTTACCCCTACAATGAGTTAAGGGCTACCCGGTACAGCTTTGAGTGCAGGTATGTTTTGCTGGAAGCAGGAGAGGTCCAGCATCCCAGTTTCAGGTCCTTGAAATGTGTGGCAGTAAGTAGCTTTGACACTCCCAGCTTGGAACAACTCATCATGAGTGGAAGTGCCAAGCCCATGACTCCTGATATGAGTTGCATCCTTGATAGCTTGGAATCTTGGGGGTATTTCCATAACATTGAGTGGTACAGTATTGTCCTTGACATGCTAGCCACCATGTTTGAAGAGTACCAACCTACAAGCAAGGAGAAGATTTACAAGCAATGCATTTACTGGAGAGTTAGAAGCAGGGCACATGCACATGAAAACTTTGAGTATGATTCTCTTGGCCATGATGCAGTTTTGACTTACTGGTCTGACTGGTTTGACAGGACCTATCCAATTGTCAAAGTCTCCTTCAGGGTAATGACACTGATGAGTGAGGATTTTGTTAGTGACATCATTACTTATGTTCAGACAAGAGGAATTGTTCCTTACCCTCCCAACATGGATGGACCTGACTCCATCACTAGCTCTGAAGATTGAGAGAGGAGTGAGAATGAAAGAATGTTCATTTTTTGTTGGTGTTTGTTATCCAGTTAGTGTCAAAGTAACAATTATAGTAGTCAGTCAAAACTTACAATACACAGTCTCTAACCAGTCAGCCACAGTGCTCTCTTGATCTTTGTGGATGGCATTCTTGCAGTTCAAGCCCATAGGACAGTTTACATGGAACTCTTCTCTCTGCTTGCATCTACCACAATAGTTTCTCTTGCAAGTAGCTGCAACTCCCTCCACTGACACAACATGATCCCTCTTGAGGAAGCCACACCGCTTGCAGTACTTCCTGCTCTTGAACCGCTTCCTAATTGGTCTTTCAGGAGCTGTTGCTGGTGGTACAGTCAAAGCAACTCGAAAAGCAGCATTTGTGGTGAGATTTGCAATTGCCGCAGCAGCGGCAACAGCCCCAGCAGCCACCTCGGCATTGAGGACAGTAGGATCGCCAAATGGAGTATCTCCATTATTGCTGTAAGCTGGAGGCTGGGTATCATGAATCCTTGGGGCTGCACTCTCTGGAAGGGCTCTTCTGTTGCTACGTAGAGTCTGGTCCAGCTGCTGTCGATCATCCTCATTTTCTGGTGCCGCTTGAATACTCTGGAGCTGTTCCAGCTTGTCGTAGTGCTGTTGAAGAAGAACTCTGCTTTTGTATCGTATTTGCACAACTGCCGAATCATCTCCATGAGTTGTCCACAACTTAAATCGTCTGGCCACTTCACCATTCCACTCTCGCTCGAAGTTCTTGAAACTGGTTGGTCCTGATTGTGCTGATCGGTTGAATCGAGTTACCCACTCATTGAAGAGTTCAATCTCTTCTCTGTCAATGTTGGTAGCAGGTATTGCACTGTCTGGTGAGCGAAATGGCAGCCACTCACATTGATTAGAGAGACGACGGAATGCTTGAAGGGTAGATTCCGGTGCGGTATCAGTTGGTAGCAAGCGATTGAGTTCATTCTCAATGAGTGCGCGATTGGCTCTGTCATTGGCTTCAGCTCTCTCCGCTGCATCATCCAGCGATGCCTGCTGTTCCGCTTGTGATCGGTCCTGCCTAGTGGCTTCTAAGTACTCTTCTTCACTGGCGAAAACCTCCACGTCTAATTCATCGCCAACTTGACTTCCAATAACTCTATCGATCTCTTGCTGTGACTGAGACACTTCCTCCTCTTCCTCGATTGCTGTAAGTTCAGCATCGCCCTGTTCTCCACAGTCAGAGTTGTACCCATCACCGGTACCATCTGCTGGATTTGACACTTCCTCATTTTCGGCAACTGAAACAGCTTGATAGTTAAACCCCATGTACTCATCTCTCTCTTTTTCGCATCAGTCATTTCTTGGTCTGTCCAACCAGTGGTGGGACCACTGAAAGAAATGAAATAGTCCTCCTGCACTGAGGGCAGGGTCTCTGTTGGTGTCCGCGTTTGCCTAGTGGTTGGCAGACTCGTGATTTGTTGGGATGGATTGCTTGTAGGATCCATTGTTGGAATGGGGGTTGAGTTTTCAGTTGGTGAAATGGTTGATTCGATATCAGGGCTACTAGTTGGGTCATCTGTTGGCTGGTTGGTAGGTGACATTGTTGGGCTATCTGTTGGTTCAAAAGTGGGGTTTGGAGTGGGGAGATTTGTTAAAGGTTGCACCTTAGGGTTGGTAGATGTCCTTATGGATGAGCCGGATGATGAATCTGTGTTGGTGAAATCATTTAATGCTTTCAGTGTGGATGGAGTTATGGTTGCCCTGGATATGGTAGGATATGTGGATACAGGGGAAGAAGATGGATTGCTTCCATCCTGGGCAGCACCTTTATTGATGTTGTTGCAAACTCCTGATGAAGCACGGGGCCCGGCAAACATTTGCATACCAGCACATGTCTCTGGTGACAGCATCTCTCTTGTTGGCACCACTGTGGATGTAACTTTTGTGGGTGGAGCCAAATTTGAAAGTGCTCCCAGAGATGGTGAATTTGCTGACATGTCAGCACTTGGGCTGACTGGGTCTCCGCTACTAGATGGCGCGCTGGCAATGCCTGCTGGTGATGGAGCCTGAGGAACAGCACCAGCCGTTGGGAGAATGGCTGGGGGGTTGGGTATTGCTGGCACACTAGCTTCAGGTGGGGTGTTTGTCTGGTCCACATTAGAAGGAGCCATTGACTGAGCCACACTTGGTGCTGCATTGCCATTGGCTGGTGTTGACGCTGGTTTCACAATGGATGGCAACATGGGATTGATACTTGCTGTAGGTGGTGCTATAGAGTTTGGTCCGTAGCTTGGCCCTTGTTCTTGCTGCTGGTTGCCATTGGCTTGATCTTTATTGGCCATCGAGAACGAGGGACTTGTTGCTGCTGGAGCAAAAGTGCCAGCATTTCCGCTTGGGTTTTTGGTAGCAATGTGGTTGGTGGCAACAGAACTGGTTGGGCCAGAAACAGCAGATGGCCCAGTTCCTCCCTGATTGGATACTCCACTAGGGCTTCCTACAGCTGATGGGACATTGGGCAGCTCGTTGTTGGAACTTGCTTCTGTGCTTCCGGCGTTTGTGGGTGCAGCTACTGTTGCGTTTGACTCTGTGCTGGTAGTTTTGGTAGGAAGATTGGCATCTCTAGCAGTAGGCGGCCCTGTGTTGGAAGTGGCTGTAGGAGCAGATGCAACAGTTGAAGAAGGAGAACCTGGTACTAGTCTGTCCAGTTCTGAGTCACTTGTGTTTTCATTCCAAACTGTGTCTAACCTCGGAATCAGCTCAATCATATCACCAGGTCCCAACTGTTGAGGCTGTTCTGGGAGTCTCTCTCCTGTCGAGGGATCCACCAGTGCCACAAGCAATACGTCTATGGGCGCATCTTCTTGTTCTGACTGTGGTGGGCTGGTCATTGGGTCAGTTTCTTGTGTTTGATCTTTGGTAGTCAGAATGGGTTGGATTGCTTGAGTAAACTGGTCAACAAAATCATCAACAGCGGTACCAGGATCAAGTTGGGGACTCGGTTCTGTGTTGGTTCCGAAAAGTGGGTCTGTGTCAGAGCATCCACTGCACTGAACATCGGCAACCCAAAAGGTATTGGTGAAATTGTCCTCTTCAGATGACTCAACCTGCATAAGTTGGACACCACCAGGTGGAATACGGGGAATATCGCATTGATCAATGAGGGCACCATTGGTGGAATTGGCAGTGATATTGTTGTAGACTTGGGCAAAAGTATCTTCCAATTCTTCTTTGTTCTCTAAGAGCAATTCACCGGTGGCAGGTGTGGCAACAGTACTGCTTGTGTATGACGAAGAAAAGACAATTTGCATGACACCTTGCTTGACATCAGTGGCTTCAATGCTACCAGCGCAGGGGCCAAAAGTGTTGTCGCTGCCACTGCTGATTCCTGCGGCAATTCCCGCAGTAGTAGCAGCCACTGTGATGGCCGCCGCCACAATGATGCCAATCTTGGTAGGCGTGGAAAGAGCCGAGACGGCAGCTGTCATGGATGATGCCCCAGCTCCCGCAGCAGCCGACTGACTTGCCATGACTCCTGCTCCTATTCCAATGGCTGCTGATTGGGAAGCTGCTACAGCCATGTCTTGCACGTGATTGTTGTCCTCAGGTGGCAGCGGTCCATCAGCGTCGTTGTTCTTCTTTCGCAAGAAGCCGAACATGCCTAGACAGTAGCTGAGAAGGAGCCTGGGCCAAGTACAGGCGCCATACACCATGTCATAGGCAGCGCTGTACATGGCCTCAAAAGCCACATACTGCATGGCGTTGTTGCGGATACCGCGCTCAATATCCATACTGGAAATGGAAAAGTCAAAGTTGCTGGGAGACTCACTCCAAGCATCATCATCATCATCGTTCTTATTCTTTGGGTCGTCGTCTGGGTCATCATCATCGTTCTCCTTGTCTCCGCCTTCCATGGCACCTGCTTCAGCCAGGAGGTCAACTGGGTACACGGGACCATCAGGAGCAGCCAAAGAGGTCCTAGTGGAGAGCAGCATCTGCGATCGAAAAGGATCAAAAGCCGTACCTGCAGCATCAACCATTCCGGAATCAGCAGGAATCGAGTTAGGATCAGGTACAGTAATCTCCTCTTCTTCCTCATTGTCGTTGGGAGAAGACCAAAGAGAGTTCATCTTGTTATCTTGTGTACTTGGTTAATAAGAAGTCTAAACTTATAGTTTGCTGTGATGAGAGCTGGTGAATGTAGTGCTTGTTGTTGTGCTGTCAGACAGGTGTATGCTTGCATGAATTTGCTGAAATTTGAAAGCGACAACGTAGGGAATCGAGAATGCATTTGGGCTTTCGACTTCGGGAGGGTTGCGGCCGGGTTAACTTGCACCAGGGTCCAAGGGAAGATTGAATGAATCGAATCATTTCCCGTGCCACGAAATCTCTAGCTACCGGTAGCCAGAGCCATTCTCGTAACCACGGCGAGAATGCACGAAAGCAGCTATCTTGGACATTTATTTCAGGGGAGTTGTAAGTCGGTGGTCAAAACTGGCATGGATATTTTTATTTAGAACTGGCATTGCTACTGGTAGCCCCACTTAATTCCTACTCGCCCGATAACTTTATGTTACTAGTATGACATCTTAATGAGAATAGGATTAAACTATTTTAATAAAGCCTCGGAAAGTTCAAGTCTTACTAGCTAGGTATTAATAAGTCTTTGTCGGGCCTCGTTGGTCCAGTCAAACCTTTATGTCCTGTCCACTTGATCTTGGACAAATTGAAATCCCAGTGGCCACTATTCAATATTACGATGGATTTTAATAGTACTGCATACCGGCTATACCGGTTAGTACATGGTACGACTGTACTGTACTGTACTGTACTGTACTGCACTGTACAGCAATCTTTTGGTCTTTGGATTTCTCATCGTATGCTTATATGTTTAGATCCCACGTGATCGTGCATCATGCCATCGTCGCTTTCTTCTTGGTCATTGAATGGCCTCCATTCGTTCCCGCATGCATAGTGGTGTCCAGCAAATAAATAATGGAGACGGTGGGGTAGAACAGGAATGAACGCCGTCAAAATCATCCAGGACCTCCAAACACACCCATGGAGGTGCCCGTACGTCAGCACAATATCTCGGGACCCGGGGGTCGGCGAGATCTGTCTGAACGTGGCGTCTTTGAAGCATGTTGCGTTCTTCGCTCGTTCCATGCGGCGGGGCAATGGTTTCCGTGGGTGTCTGCGGCGCCCTCTTTGACCTAAGCAATTGCTTTCGATGGCATACCAGGTAGAAAGTTCAGATGCCTTTACCCCAAAGCAACCAGAGATTTTTTCCCTACGTCAACCTTTGTAGCCTCCAATTGGACCGAGAGGTCGGTCGCTGAAGGCGACGGTGCCGGTACCATATGTGGGAACCACTACTTGCTTCCCCTCGGGCGCCTGACTGTCTGACTCCTACTGGTACAGTACCTCTTCGAGGATCGGTCCCAAGAGAAGGTTTATGTAGCTCTACAGTGCCAGAAGTCTAAATTGGCAGATCCTGCAGACATGCCGAAGGTGGCTAGCTAGAAGGGATAACAATAATAATAATACTGACTAGTATTGATGCGTGAGCTACTGTATCCATCAAGCGATTTCGCACTCTAGCTAGGAAAAGGGTCCAGGGATTGTCGAATGCGATAGGAGAGTTACTGGGAGGGTGTGGACGGGGAGCTCAGGAGGGAGGAGGAGCCCTTAACCCAGTCTCGGTTGGTTTGGAAGTTTGGAAGATTGAAATGGTAAAAATTCAAAACAATTCTTTTTGATGAAAATGACCATCACTAGCTACTACGGTAGCCAGAACATCTACCTGTATCTCTTGGAACAGAAACGATCTCTTTCCAACTACTATCCAGGCAAAGATATGCCAAAACAACACTGAGGACATGAATAGAAAGAAGCCACAATGGAGAGGCATGCAAAAGGGAGGGCGCCTTTTGCTTCCTGCTGCCGTATATGTCTGCATGATTTAGCATGGCTTTGGTGCAGAGAGGGGTAGGTTGTAACGTGGCATGGCTAAATGGCTGGGCTGGTAAAGTGTTGCACCAATCGTCAGTGGGGGGCTGGAATGGCAGGTGTTTGTTGCCAAGCAAGATGGAGAGATGGAGGAAATGCATGTCATCATTTTTGAACTTCTACTATTTCTCTTTGAGCAGGGCAAAGCTTTGGATCCTTTTGGTCTCCAAAAAATGAAAAAGTCAGTTTCGTCAGCTGTCTCGTCGATATTGGTACCGTACGGTAAAGGTACCAGGAATCCACCTTGTAGATTCCCTGCCACTGCCTCAGCTGGAGGAGGCACTTCGATGACCTGACTAGTGCATAGACATCCTAATACAAGCCAGCTAGTATAGCAAATAGTAATAGTGGTATTTGCTGGCAAAACAGGGTGTCTATAGGTGATGGAATGGGCAAGCTTATCTGCAGGTTTGTAAACCTTGGATGAGACCATTTGGGGAATTGCCAATTCCAGTTCCTTATGCACTGGTAACTCGCAAGGGAGGGAAGTGGTGGGTAAATTGACACTGTGGATGCAACATTGCATCATGGTCTATTACTTGGTCCACATCTTCGTGCTCCCAAAACAATGGACTGGCTAGATCCATTCTGGATCTCCCCTTTGCTCCAGTCTGACCTCCTCACCTTAAGATACCCAGCAGTGACTGGATTCAGCTTTAGTCCAGGACTGGAGCAATGGGGACTCATCTCCATTGCTCTGGCCTAGAGTCAAGGCTGCGAGAATCCACCTTGTAGATTCCCTGCCACTGCCTCAGCTGGAGGAGGCACTTCGATGACCTGACTAGTGCATAGACGTCCTAATACAAGCCAGCTAGTATAGCAAATAGTAATAGTGGTATTTGCTGGCAAAACAAGGTGTTTATAGGTGATGGAATGGGCAAGCTTATCTGCAGGTTTGTAAACCTTGGATGAGACCATTTGGGGAATTGTCAATTCCAGTTCCTTATGCACTGGTAACTCGCCACTTCAAGCTGTATGGCCGAAGTGGGACTTGGTCACAGGATAGATCAAAGGATCTACACAAGATAAAGGTGCCGGTAACAGTACCATGTCATCGAAGGGCATCCAACAGCTGGACGCAAAGAAATGTAATAGAAGGAAAATGTGACAACTGCAATAGCGAGTAGGGGCAATCATCAAAACGTGATGGCAGAGGTGCGGAGCCATAAGTGTCGAAAAATTTGGAGTACACACTTAAGGAATAAGAGTGTGAATAAGAACGAAGAGAGCAGGTAAACCTAATAAAAGACGGATTCCCGGAGTGACCGGTTCAAAGGAAAAGTCAAGTAGAGAGTTCACACAACGTGGTAAAGAAAGGGGAAACGACACGATCAGGTGGGATTCCCGTAATAACCGCATAAGTAATGACGGGGTGGGCTCGATTGAATGATCGAACGGGTGGGAGTAGATTGCCGGTAGCAACGAAAAGAGGAAGGAAAACAACATCAAGAGGCTCATAATTTGAGCAAACAAGCTAAACCAACAGGTATTGGCTCGACAACCATAAAGTAAGAAGGAAGAAAGGACAAATAGCAAAGAAAAAGCATCAACCATGGCCCACATCGTTCCAGGATTTGAGTTTGCGGATATGGTAGCCGCACAAACTGCGGGAGTGTCGAACAAGCGAAAGTTTGCAGTGGCGTGGCGGAACTGGAAGTTCATTGCTGTGGACGAAGACATGCTCATCAAGGGCGCTAGATATGATCCATTGTTCGAAGAGATCAAGTACAAGGCGAAGCAGTTACAGGCCCGCTACAATGAACGGGAGGCAATCTTGCAGACCATCACTAGTCCTGTCAATCGCGAGGTGACCCGCTAAGCATTGTTGCAACAAATTCAGGATTCGGGAGTCTGGTAGAGTAACGGGGCCTTGGAGAACAACAATGATATGCAAAACCAAGGCAGCTCCCTTCGTTACTGTAGTCGGCTACAGCTCTGGCCACCTGCTTGTGGCAAACGGCAACTCAGGCAGACCGAAAGCATCGGTATACATGCAAAGGAAAACAGGGATGGTATTACGTCCAGTGATGAAACGAAATGATCAAAGATCTTTGGTCAAAACACAAAGAAAGAAAAGGGAACTACAGTATAAAGAATGTAGCCGTAAAAAATATTAAGTCAAGTATGATTAAGCGATTCAAATAAAAGAGGGCATAGCAGCAGCACGGTTTAGAGCGTGACATTGTTGGTCGGCAAGGACGGTAGTGTTTCGAAGATAGACCATGAAAGCATCAGATTCCCATCGTAATAAAAATTGGATCTGTTGAGCAGTGAAGCCTTGGGTATGGAGGGCGACACATGCACCTACTCGGAGAGAGTGGGATGACCAACGCTGGAGCTCCTTGTGTTGCTTCTTAGGATTCAAATTATAGACTTTGGATGCAAGAGAACGCATACTGGAGTCAATCTGAGACGTAGAGATAAAGGAATAACCGGTAGTCGAGTTGGTTCTGTAGACAGCAAGGGGAGTACTCGTATTCCAGATGCCTACAAGAGCAGCATAGCGTTTGAGGATCCGGTACAGCGCAGAGACCATGCAAAAGCCGCCTTCCTTAGGATTGCGAACAAACAGGCGACGCTCACCATGGCGACCATTCTTTTGGGAGCGCCAAGTAAGCCACACCTTATGAGCTAGGTGAGGCTCAAGAAGAAGACATCGGGACCCTTGGAAACGCTGGTCAAAGGCAATGACCTCAATATCTCGGAGGATAAAGGCTTGGGGGTCACAAAAAAGATTTTTGAGTATTCGATCCGGATGCAAAGCACTGACATGGGGTTGTGCCCATTCTGATTTGCGGAGTCCGCCCATAAGTCCAACCTCATACCAGTCAGATAAAGTTGCCAAAAGTCCAAGGGGATCCTTAGCCGCAGTAGCCTGGCGGCGAAGCTCAGAGAGCATAGCAGGAGTAAATGGTTCCCTGCGATTGGGAACTTTCTCATAGCGGTCCATCTCCGCGTAGACTTTAGATAAGAGGTGTCCCATCTTGGTGTCAGTAGGATTATCTTTGCGAAGGTCTCGTTGGAAAGAACCCATAGCCACAAAACTAGCCATATCATTGACATATCGCTTCACAGTTTCACATTTGACTTGACGGCAAAACACAGAACCTCCTTTGGCAACATAAAGAGCATACATACAGGCAATCAATTGGCGGTCCCGGAGAGTAAGTGTGGGAGACTCCAATAGAACATCTTTCAGCTTCATTACCTGCATCCATTGGAGATAATGGACGCGATGGGTACGAACTGTCCCAGTGGCTTTGGCAGATTGAGGGGTGCCATTGAGTGCTGAATAAACAGCCTCGAGAAGAGGAGCTGCAAGAGTTCTGGACTCGGCTAGAAAATGTCCCAAGTCTTCAAGGTAGGATGTTTGGTGGTGAGCTGCTTGGCCCGAATATCAGAAGAAGAAAGAGGAGAGGATGGTCGTGAGATGTCATCTGCTAGTTCATTGTGTGCCCCCGCCACATGTTCGCAGTTAAGGTTGACTGGGTACAGGCGAAGAAGTTCGCAATAAATTGTAAGAAGGCCTTGAGCAGGTAGGGACTTGGAAGACACCTTATTGGCCCAACTCTTGGAAGACATATTGTCCGTATAGGACAAAAGAACCGGGTATAGTGGTGGACCATGAGGAAATAGTTTGGCTCGGATGTGGGGAGGAAGATGAGAAAGTCGTGCAATGACAGCTGCCAACTGAAGGATGACAGTAAGAAACTCAAGGCAGTTTATATGGACAAATCCTTCAGCATCTGGTGCAAGTTGGGTTCCTTCATGAACATGAGTAGGCCAAATGATATCGAACCAAAATTCGAGATGTGCACAGTAAGCACCGCCTGCCTCGTGAGACGCATCACCATAGGTCACTGCATGGGGAACTCGCTGGAGGATGAGGCCAATAGGAGTAGTCCAAGGGGACTCAGTATTTTGGAGGTATTTGTGAATTATGCGAAGAGCAAAACGAATGTGGATATTCATTTTGATGCGCGACTGCGTATGCCAAACCAATTGGGCTTGGTCTCTAGATACAAGACCTTGAATACAAGACCAAAGGCCACGTGGTAGCTCAGCTTGGTACTTGCGGGAGGCCTGCTGGGAGTCAAGACGTCGTTTGATGGCATAGTAGCAAGCCTCGAACTTTGCCCGGAAGGCATTTTGAATAGCAAAGAACCAAGGACGGGCCCATCGAACATATCGTGTGTGATTTTCCAGAGTGCCTTGGATTGCTGCAGCCTCAAGGAGTGTAAAAGAATCCATATGGGACCAATGAGATACTTGAATCATTAGTGTAGAGTGATATGCACTATAAGACCCGCTGCAGATTAAGACCATCCTAATATTCTTGGATTTGTACAGTAATTTCTATAGTAACATGTACATACGACCTAGCTAGCTACGGTAGCTAGCTAGTAGCTAGCTAGAGGATAGAGCCACCATCAAGTCCATTGCTCAAGCTGTGTGGTGGTGTCGAGCACTTGTTGGCTGTGTCAATAGAGGAAGCAGTGGCCTGGCTTCGGAAGCAGTGTCATAGACTACCGGTATGGTCATACCGGTAGAGGAAGGAAGGAGTGTCGATAGAGACGACTGTACCGGTAGACAGAGGTGCTTCGAACGATAGAGGTGCTTCGAACTATAGAGGTACTAGTACAGTCGTACGAAGTATGCATCCAGGAGGAAGAAGGAGTGTCGATAGGTCGATAGAGGTGCTTTTCATGTGCTGATGCATGTGCTTGGAGACCCTCTTGTTTTCGCTCGATAGAACCGGTACCGGTACAGTAGGATCCTACGTAGACTCAGTACCAGAGTCTACGTGTGACGTCATTGGGTCTTATTCTGCAGGGGAAAAGAATTCCCTGTGAGTTGGGTGAAATCTTCAACCGCCGGTAACTCCACCAATAAGTACACTAAGAAGTTGCGAATTTTGTGGCTTACTCAACTACATGTGCTCTACAGATTCCCCTACTTAACACTGCCAATTCCATATCCAGCTGCGAAGAGAATATTTCGGCGAAAGGTCAGTCTTAATGCGCATATCACTCTACTCAATTTGTCAGGAGTCACACCAACAGTAAGGGCGTGGGAGTTGAATTGGCGACCCACACAACGATGTTCATGGTTGTAGATATTTTCAAACTTGTCCCGACTGAGAGGATCAGGAATCAGAGGTTGGGGGTAGCCCAAGACTTCGTAGAGACCGATAATACTGGCAGCAACCATCTTAGGCATAAGGGCTCCAACATCAGCATATAAATTGTCATCCACATGATGAAGGTACGGTGGAGGCTGGCGAAACCCATCCCGATTGAGAACACCAGTATGAATATAATCAGCTTCAGCCGGGACAAACTGCACAGAAGATGGTGGCGGTTGAAGAGTAATAGGTTGAAGGTACAGCGCAGCTTGGTCCTCAACAGTATCACAATGGCTCCAATACCACTGGGAAGTAGACTGCCGAGCTCGTGCAATGATATCCCAATTCGAGGGAGTCGTATTGTCCCCAAAGGTCCCACCAGTATTGAAGACGCCATAGCCACATTGACGACTCGTATGCATGCCAACCAAATTGGGGTGGTACTTAAGACGACGAAAGGCACCACTGATATCATCGTCTCCAATGTAGATCTCTTGGTCAGGATGAGTAATACGCATATTCCAGAGCCAAGTCATAAATGGAAGTTCAGCAGCTGCACAAAGGACTGCAGGTTCAGTATCTTTAGAAGTCCAGTCATTAATAGCATGAGCCCATGGCTGTGGGCGGAAGGAACTATCAAAGATTGGTCGGGGATTCTTGCATTGCTTATCCAGATCAACCATACCTTGGGGAGTGAGATGGCAATTAAGCAAAAATGGTATAGCTCGCTGGTCAAACGCAATCACAAATCCTCGTTTGACGTCCTTGACCAAAGCTTTGTAGGACTTTTCAGGGCACAGCGTACAGGAGGAATGATTGCCGTAAGTATTGAAAGCTTGAAAATTGGCCTCAGTAGCAAAGGCTCGACAAAACCGGGGTATACCAGATTGAAAGATCTGGGTAAGTTCGTCAAGGACACCAGTAGGGATTTTCCCAGACAGTCGCTGATACAAAGTATTGGGATCAATGTAGGAGCCAACATATGGTCCACCCATGTATCGAACTAGAGCTGCAACATCTCCATCAAAATGGAAAAGGGCAGCCGTAACCTGCTGAACTCGATCATCGCGAATGTCATTGTCTTGTTCAAAATCAGGTAGATGAAAGTTTTGGAGGCTTGAGAAATCGACACCATGAAGCTCTGTAGCCAAAGTGAGGAAAGTATCGACCATAGGGAAGGCAGTACTAAAGTTTGCCCAAGAGGCAGTATCTAACCATCCATGCTTCCAAAGCGGCAACAGGACGTGGCGAAGGGCACCTTCAGATACAAACACTTGCGAAAGGTTCTCCTTACCATAGGTTTCATTGATCATTGTTTGTATACGGGTTGGCTGTTGGTGCAGCCAGCGGTCTCGGTCTGCCGCCCGCTGAGGAGTAGGTGCTGGGAATGCAGGCGCTTGCTGTGTAGTGCATGCTCTCTTATTTCGTACTGACAATTTCTGCATACGGTCGGCAATGTCGTCTGTTGTAGGGAATTCAGTAGCATCCAAAGAGTCAAGAGTTGTAACGGTTTCATCGTCAGTATCAATCGTAGAGTTGTCATCATCGTAGTTCGTCATGACCCATGACGGATCGGTGGAAGCTGTACTAGATACACTGCGATCCATAAGCATCGGGATAGACGAAACGGATGCATCATTGTCCCTGTTTGGTGGAAGAGGCGGAGAACGCTGGGAGGGCTGAAGCCGAAAGCGTTGGTAAGTCGCGGATTCATCAATATGCAGGGTCGGGAGCCAACAGTGGCTGGGAATAGGAATGATAGGGGCAACAGGTTCTACAAAAACTTAGTAAGTAATAAAGTGAATTTATAGTTAGATGGACAGAGAGGGGTGCTCAAAGAACAATCATGTGGATCAATTTAATTTGGTTGCCTACCAGAAGGGCCTTTGTTGGTAGCAAAACAAATGCTCGGTTCATTGTCTACCCAAGCTTTGAAAGCTGGCTGTTTGTCCCGAGGAACTTTATCAAAGTTTGCCACATGGGGCTTGTTACAATTGGACCCAAAGCGACAGGTTAAACCGTCGAACAAGAAGAAGGTGCAAGGACGTTCTTCAGAAGTAGAATCAGGCTTAGCTTTGAAACGCACAGGGCAAGCTGGGGCACGACCAGTGCCATTATGGATCAGCATGCCAGGAGCTCGCTGCTGAGGCCCTCGAGGGGTGCTAGAGGTAGGAGTAGGGGGAACAGCTCGTGACTGCGATGGTGTATGAGGTTCATGACGGGGGCGCTTGTTGGCAGACGAGCGCGAGTCGACAGGGTCTCGTGGAGTTGTGGTAGGTCCAGGGAAAACCAAAGGAAAGTTGGAATGGCAATGGCGGTATTCCAAGAGCTCTCCACGGGTTACAGCCGCCTGGAGATGAGCAATGATGCCTGTTGAACAAGTAACAGCCAAATCATAGATATGCGGACTCAAAGTCTGCTCTGATTGAAGGGCATCAACGTATTCCAATGTATTGGCCGTACGGGCATGGACTGCAACAATACAATTGCCTTGCATAAGAAGATTGACCATAGCTTCACGGTTGGTAGAAAACTTGTTGAGCCATCGACGTCCCTCGATGGAAAAAAGGATAGAACAGAATTCCGACAAGTGATGAGCCAACAAAGACTTGCCATAGTTCGCAATAAGTTTGAGAAAGATGCGACGAAAGTTGCAAAAAGCCGGGATGACATCACCAAGAAGGGTAGATACTTTGCCGGTAGTATTCAACTTGCTGGAAGTGGAAGCTGGGTTGCCACGGTGCATGGTAGCATCCATAGTGTAGGCTTGGAAAGGAACATTATTTTCATCCATAAGAGTTTGGTATGCCATGCTGGTAGTAACCGGACTAAGGAAGGCCAAAATGGACAAGTTGTTTTGGAGTGTCTTGGGTAGATCATTGGTAGCAAACTGAAAGCCACGAAGGCACCCAATGAATGCAGCATTGGCTTGGACCGGGTCAAATGTAGCACACATATCCACATACTGGGGGGAGGATCCAGCTTCTTCCATCGTGGACGTGATGGCAGACTGGAAGAGTCGAATAGCCGCAGCTTCACCACGTGGTTTACCAAGAAGGTTGTTACCAGTAGGAGTAAACGTAGCAGGAACAAACTTAGATGGAACATCGTCAGTAGGAACAGTGCGATGGCCAAACATGATTTGGTATCGAGCCAAGTTGTCGCCACAGAGATCATTGAGCTCCTGGTCTTTGAGGGACACTGTAGGCTGGGTTAAACGTTGGAGGAGCCGTTCCATGGAAGGGGACACAGTATCAGACTGTGGTGGTGCCACAGGAGGAGAAGACTGGAAACGAACAGTCGGGAAGTCATCCCGATGTTCAGGAATCAAAGAAGGCGGGGCTTCAGCATCAAGGCGAGCTCCAAGGACCTGCCAGTCATTGTTTTTGAAGTCTTCATAATGGGCCCGAGTAGAACGATACGTATCAGTACCTGGAGAAGCCAGATTAACAAGGTTCTCGATGACCGGGATAAGGGATAAGTTTTCGAAGTCAGGGGCATCATCAATAGCATCCAGCTCGAAGAGGTCGCCACCAAGAGTAACGGACCATCCATCGTTATGGTTAAGGTAGAAACATTGTCCTTTGAGCCAGGTATTAAAAGCAGGGTAGTCAACGGGTTCATCGAGTGGCTCGTTGATGTTATGATTGGTAGGAATCGTAACACCAGGGGGCAAAGGGCAAAGGACAGGAGGAGCAACAAAGACCGACATTTCATCGTCATTGACAATGGAGCCATAGCCAATGCGCTGGTAGGAAGGCTGCTCACCATCCTCATCATCATCGTTGGCAGGGCCAGTGATTTCGTCAGGGGGCTGGGAAGTACGAGGAAGGTCCAAGGCATTACACATGGACGCAGGGACCACCGTCGTAAAGAACCCAGAAAAGTACTCATAAGGGACTGAAACAGGGATGCACTCATTCAACAAGTCCGACAAGGAAGCACGAACCTGGACCGACTGGGGATCCAAGTCATCGGTAACGATCAAGGGATTGGTGAGGACCTGGAGCTCACGATTGACAATCGTAGCAAACTGGGTCACCATGGCAGGGTTTGTCAAAGTAGCATGATGAACCGTAGAGTTGGTCGAGCGACCGAAGGTCGAAGCAAGCTTGCGAGCCACCGATGGGTCCGTCGGGAACGCCTTCGAAACACGTTCGTCGCCATGGGCACGGCCACGGTTACGAAGCGCTTCATTGACGATGCGAGCAGAGAAGAGAGGCATGGTAGAATGCGAAAGTTGGAAAGCTGGTTACAAAAGCGGATGAGACCGGATTGTGAGATCGTAGTGAAACGGACTGAGGCAAACGAAAACGAAAAGCCAACGAAAAGTAAAACGCTGGGACTAAAAAGGTATCTTGAGCACAGGAAGTACACACCCTACGTGCCGCCGCGTAAACCCGGCGCCAAAAGGAAGCTGAAAGGAAGCCAAGATCGCTGTAGGATATACAGAAGTTGGTAGCAATCACTTGACATGAAAGATATTGGGCGCGAGTTGGTGTCAATGATATCGTCGGAACAAAGGAATTGTCTAAATATTGACAGTGTCGTTCTAAGTAAAAAGTGGCGCGCCGAGGGTTCGGGATCAGTTAGGAACGTCGCCTGGCGCAGACCAGCGAAAAACGAGAACCAGTAGAGACCACGTATGACCAAAAGACTGCATGGCAGACCCGGATCTTAAATAACGAAAAAGATACGATATTTTGCTGGGTAAGGTGTCACGAATACCAGACACGCCAATAATTAAATTTATCGCAAACTAGGTGCCAAAGATACCAAAGACCAGATGACCGCAAGGGTTCTGGATTCGGGAAAGAAATGAGAGACAGGTTTGCCGAAAGGAAAAAGGGAGAGGTCCACCATGGTGGAAAAAGGGCACCTAGACGCAACAAACGCATACAAAGTAATAAATAAAACTAGAAATGTGTAGGGGGTTGTTAAAGTGACACGCACTATGATTATAGGAATAGATTAAAGTAAATTTAGGAAGGAAGAAAGGCCTAGAATACCAATTTCAAAGGGTATCATGAGGGGCCGAGAAGTGTGCCGAGGCAACAAGTAATTATTAAAATTTGGATAATAGACGGGAACACCAAAGGGGACCGTCAAATTTAGGGTAGGAAAGTAAAGCCAATAGAGGGCAAGTTATAGAGGATTGTAAAGGATTTGTTGGCAAGCATCGTTAAGAAACGACGTCCATTTTGGGAAGCCATAGAGATTGGAGAAAGGTGATGTCGTCGTAAAGGAACACCTATTAAGAAAGAAAGTTCATAGATAAACGGGAGACACAAAAGAGGCCAAGTGAGACGACGACGAAACACGAAAAATCGACACTGTGGATGCAATATTGCATCATGGTCTATTACTTGGTCCACATCTTCGTGCTCCCAAAACAATGGGCTGGCTAGATCCATTCTGGATCTCCCCTTCTTTGCTCCAGTCTGACCTCCTCACCTTAAGATACAGCTTTAGTCCAGGACTGGAGCAATGGGGACTCATCTCCATTGCTCTGGCCTACTAGCTAGAGTCAAGGCTGCGATAGACAGACAGTTGGAACGTTTTTCTGAAATCTTAACACAGAGGACAAGTACTTGTAGAAAGAACTAGGAACGGCCCGACCAGTACAAAGTTGTAAAACATAAAACAAAAGAGCTGCTTACTGTAGCGTCAGTACCAGGGCCTACAGCGCCTGGCTGATCCTTGGACACGATAATACGGTAATACCACAATGGTGGCAAGCAATAGAGGACAAGAAGGTATCAACCAATATATCAACCAATATGGCACCTACACAACCAAGCTAACTATCTAGAGTTGTCTACGTTCTTTGCTTGTCACAGCCATGTGATGGTTGTAGTGGTTGCAGACATGTAGCAGGCATTATCTTATGTCAAACTAGGCGCTTCATTTTCTTCCAAATATTCCAAAAGTTCTCAGATTCACCTTGATTTTGGGCTGTTTGATCGTTCTGCTATCAACCCAATGATCATAGGTATTGATCTAATGGGTGCATTAGAGAGGAAGATATAATTGAAAGTGAGTAGGATCAACGAGTTAATAGAAAAAAGTGGCAGCCTAAGACCACAAATCCAAAACGACCGAGCAACAATTCCAGCATCTATTCTAGTTGTTCATCAGATAGAATCAATGGCTTTAGCCATTCTAGTCATGTTGGTTTGTCTAACTTAAGGAATGGACGCATCAGATGGGTCCAATGGGGCTACGAGTGAGCATATAGATTGGTCGACCTGTTGGTGACAGAAAAAATTGTCAGAAATGGCAGCCCCACTTTGCCAGTCGTTCGTTGCTTCAACAACCAACAAATGGAGAAGCCATTACCACCACTGCGACCGGCACGTCCAAATTATGTATCCCATATCTCGGGGTATTGATAGGGTGGCTCTATTGGTTAAGTTGATAGGGGTATTGACGGCAGCTTCATCGGCATCAGAGAAGAGCAGATCAAAAAATGAGGCCCCATTTTGTGAGAGAACACAACGGAACATCCGGGCTCCCCCAGAAGTTTGTACTTGTTGGTCCATTGTGCTGGTGGTTCCATCCCTAGTGTCTATTTGACTGGTTTTTATTGTTACGTAACGACGCTGCTCTCTTCGCTCCATCAGGTTTGGAGACAACAACCTCCAAAACCTCGCCTTTCAGCCATGTATCCTTGACTGCAGCTCCAAAGATTCGCTTGCAGTCATGAGAAACAGCATCAGCCTTGGCCCATACGGTGCCACCCACTTTCCGACGATCATCAGGGGGCGCCATAGTAGCATTTGTGTGAGGAAAACGGCGGCAAAGAGTGTCATTGTCAGGTTTCGGAGTGAAAGAAAAAGAAACAAAGAAGTGAGTTTCGATCGAAAATCAGCCGAATTTGGTGACCGATCGTGCCGAACTGACCGATCTGGATAGCTCATATCTAACTAACCAAACGTCCAATCCAAGTCAAACTTGGACCGTTTTGTAAGTAAAAGACGGAGCTTAAGACGATGCTGGCGGTATATAAGACTTCATGGATGTAGGTTAATAAGAGCCCTGTTTAGGTCGGTTGTTATTTAACTACTTAGTTGTTACCTAACAACCCTAGTCAAACAGACACTAGCTAGAGAAGGCACAGAAGAAAGAAGCCACAATGGTCACAAAACAGAGAGGCGTCACCTTTTCCTTCCTGCTATTCTCATTCTTTTCTCTATTACCTACTACGTAGTACCATATCCTCGCGCGAACCCAAACATCTCAAGACCCTTGGAGATGAGGCCAGCAACACCCTACTAGCTATTATTAGCTAGCAAGGTACTCCAATATAGTTCATTGGGTCCATGATGAACGGCCACGACATGGATCTGGATCATGTTGTATCCGACGGAGACTGGAGGGGCTTGACACGGGGAGAGCTTCGAGAAAGCATCCCACTACGAGGCGACCCTGTACATGTTTGCCAATGGCGGGCCACTGGCAAGATTGTTCTCAAACCAGCGTGCTTTTGGAAGCAAGGCGACAGCCATCAGTGGAAGCTCCTGCAAAGGCTCAAGAGTACTGTCGGCACGTCCAGGTGCGACGGCAAGAGTGGCTGTTGCCGTTTGCGTGTACCAAGGGAGTAGCTTCAGAGGTTTTGGACTACATTATTCAGTCCGATCCAGAGTCCATCGGGGCACGATGGGTGGGAGGAGAGAATCATGAGGGTGGGCCTCCAAAGGGATCCCTTTGAGGGTTTTTGCTACAATTTGTGAGCTAAATACTCTTTATCATCTACCTATTCCCCAACTGTTGTCACTTGATAATTCAATATCAACAGTTGAGGTTTACAATTTCTTTGCAGGAGTAGAAGCATGCTGACCTTCCAGATTGTTGAGGATCTCATAATCCCTCACAATGTCACACGCCCTCAGATGCTTCACTGGCTGCAAAAGCTGCTCCATCGTCAGGTACTCAGATTCCCACTGCATGATGCTCTCACGCTGAGACTCGAACAAGTCCAGTGGTTGAGGCTTCGTCGCAATGTCTGCCAATTGGTATCGACTGGGTATCTTGTGCAACGAGATGAGCTTCTTTCGAACGTACCCCCTGAAGTGGTGCATCTTGACACAGATGTGCTTGGTCCTTGGTCTCATCTTTGGCTCGATTGCCATCTCTAAGGCTCCACTGTTGTCCTCAAACACCTTGCAGTGCACTACCGGTGGTTTGTCGTGTGTCCTCCAGTTTAGCTCGGTCTTTGACTCCTCGATCAACTGCATGAGTCCTATCGTGTCCCTTAATGACTCGGACATAGCATTGTACTCTGCCTCCGTGGTTGACAACGCAACTTCTCTCTGTAGTTTCGATGCCCACGTCACTGGACAACCTCCATAAAGAATAACGAACCCAGTTCGAGACTTAGCAGTACTCGGATCCACGTCCGCCGTAGCTCTGTTCCAGTTTCCCACGAAGTCAGCGTCCACGAAGACATCGAACGAACAAGACGTCGGGTTCAGTATGATACCCTTGTCTTGCGTGCCAATGAGGTATCGTCCAATTCTTTTCACTGCTGCTGCATGTGACACCTTTGGGTCCGCTGAAAACCTCGCGCACTGATGCACGGCATAGGCAATGTCTGGTCGTGTCGACTTCTCCAAAAAGTTGAGTTTGCCGATCACGCTCCTATAGCTCCAGTCCTGTTGAATATCTTCTCCGTTGACGTCTCGCTGTAGTTTGACGGTGGACAGTGCTGGTGTTGGTTGTTGCTTGGTTCCTTCGGCGAATCCAAGATCATCAATGATCTGCTTGATCATGTGTGGCTGCGACAGCTTGATTGTCCCGTTCGCAAGTGGTTGGACCTTCACTCCAAGATAGTCAGATAGGGTTCCTTCGTTCGTCATGACGAACGCTCGATGTGTCACACCGTGTTTGTCCGTCATTGGCTTCGACAATGCGTCATACGCATCGTCGATCTCCTTTGTTGTTGGAGCTATAAAGATCCCGTCATCAACGTAGATGAGGAGAACAACCGATCCCTTGTAATAGACGCACATGTCCACCGTGCTCTGTTTGAAACCTCTGGCAATCAATCCATCGTGCATGTACCTGTTCCACACTCTTCCCGCTTGCTTTTGTCCGTAAAGGTTCTTCTCCAGCAGCAGACAGTCATTTCCTCGATACCTTTTCTTGTCGCTGGTCTGGACCAATTTTGGCTTTCCAGATGCTCGAGTCACGTCGAATCCTTGAGGAATCTCCATGTACATCTCGCACTCGATGTCTGCCTGTGGAAATGCCAACACAAAGTCGACTTGCCTGGACTTCCACTTGTTTATAAGCATCAGGATGAGGAACATTCTGATGGTGGACCATCCAACAACTGGGGAGTACGTCTCCCAGTAGTTGACATTCTTGGTCTGCTTCCCACCGTGCACATTTAGCCTCGCTTTCCACTTGTAGATCTCCTGTGTTGCGATTCTCCTCTTCCTCCTGAATGCCCATACGGCCGGGAGCAGTTCTGTTCCTGTCGGCATCTCGCCCTTGGAAGCAATCCTCCAATGCCTCATCTCTTCGTGAGAGCTCACTTCCTTCCACATTGCTTTCTTGAAGTGCTCCGCGTCGTGCGCCGTCAACGCTCCGTCGATGTACATGATGTCCGGGTTTGCGGATGCTGCGAACGCGATCGGATCTTCCAGCTGTTCCTGGATATCGTACTCCCCATCGTGGAACACTTCCCATGGAATTGCCGCGTATGCGACATGATAAATTCCGTGATCCCTTGGTCTCCTGACCTGTCTTCCGGATCTCGTGATCGGTGCTGGACGGTGTGTCGCTGGCTGTGCTCCCTGAGTCGCCTCTTCTGTTCGATCGTCGTCATCGTCCTCCGATTGTTGGCTAGCCTCTTCTTCATTGTCGATTGTACTTGGGTGTTGAATTCCGAAGTCTTCTAGCAGGATGTCAGCTGCCCGCAGAGCTGGTTGTGACTCGCTCGGTTGAGTCTCGCGATCTTCGTGATTGATGCGTTCCGTTTCGTTTTCCCGACTTTGGTCTTGTGTCGATACTTCTCCACGATGGTGGGTTTCTTTCTCTTCAAAGCCGGCCTTCATCTGCCACTTCGACATTGGTGGAAGGTTGCCTGACTTTGGGCGTAGTGTGTCACACAGATCGTCGAACTGACAGTGAAACTGCGGTGACACCAGCCCAGTGCGCAGACTGAGAACCAGTGCTACTTTTCTCGAGTGTCTTGGAGACAGTCCGAGGTAGATTCCGATCCGTGCCTTGTGCTCCCACTTCTGAATGGTCTTGCCCTGCTGGAGCCGACTGTCGAGGACGTATACTGGTGACCCGAATGTATGCACGTTCTTCACCTTCGGAGCGACGTCCACCGCTGAGAAAATCTCTATTGGTGACGCATGATCGTTCCTGGAGATGATGGGTGTCGCGTTTGCGATGTCGCTCGCGTACCTGACTGCAAATGGCCAGAGATGGGAGTCGATCGCAGTGGGCCATCTCTGCTTCGCATGCAACAACATGGTTCTCGCGGCTTCCTGGAGATCTCTGATTTTCTTCTCGGCCTTCCCATTCATATGGTGGGCGTTCACGGCTGCGTACGTGATCGATTGCCCGCAGTTGTGCACTTCTTCCGCGAATGCCTTGCTGTCAAAAATTCCATTATCTGCATGGTAATGTCTGACTTGCACGCCAAATGTCTTGGCATACCTCTCGAAGGCTCTCTTGGCAGCAATCGTCTGTTCTGCAGAGGTTGAAGTTTGGAAGTGAACGAAAGACAGTCCGCTGTGGTGATCCACGAAGACAGTACTGACCGTGTACCTCTTTCTGGTGAGTAATCCTCTCATCTGGCCGATCAGGCCTGGAGTTGATGAGATCAACTGGTCGACTCCTACAACCGATCCTGGAGCTCCTGCCGACAATGGGTCCTTCTGATTGTTGGGAGTGCGGGTTCTCCATGGTCGTCGTGTTGCCTTCCCAAACATACAACTTGCGCACTTTGGTGCTCTTGCTCTGGCGAGTTTCGCAGGAAGATCTCCTCGCTCGGCCAGTTTGCGTATCCGCTCGAAAGAGATGTGCCCCAACCGGTAGTGCCATGCAAGGATGTCCGCTTGGTCCGTTTGGTATTTCAAATATTTCCCATCGGCAAGCGGCTCCTGTTCAACCAGCCGTAAGTCCTTCTTCATTCTGAATGCATGAGTCATTTCCTGCTGGAATTTCTCACTCTTGTTCTGCTCCTGGACTGCTTCGGGTGGAAGATCTGGATGCAATCTGCCAGTCGGTAGTTCCTCGTCGTCTGATTCGTCCGACGATCCTGATCCTGACTCCTCATCGGACACCGTTGCCACGGTTGGCATTGCCATTAACTCGAACTCATCAATTGGTTCCCTGCCCACTTCGTCTCTCACTTGAGCGCAGAAAGCATGCAGCTTCGAGAATGCTGGGGCACTCCTTACCAAGGCTATGTTGCTGGACGGGGAGAGTGTGATGACTCTCTTGAACTTCCCTTGAGCCCAGAACAGCTCCACCGCGTCCTCGTACGTTGCGCACCAAGTCCCTCGCTTTGCCGGGTAATTGTCGTCTGACACTTTCGCCCAGTGTTGTGGCGAGAGCAGTCTGTACGGGGTGGTTGGATTGAAGTACGTGTCTGGGATCACGAAGTGATGTGTCCTTCCGTCCTCATCCTCGATTGTCCACTTGACTGTTCCCTTGTAGGTCGCTCTGACGGATCCACCAACTCCTTGAACTGACACGTTCACCTTTTGTGGAGAGTCTATGAAATCTCTCATGCAATTTGTCATGCATCTGGATGAACAGTTGTCAATGGCAATGAGAACTGAATCTGTGTCATATTGGTGATCGTCCGAACTGCCATTCGTTGCTCCGCTCAATGACCACATGACCAGGCTGTACGCAACCATTGGGTTGCCCTCTCTGGATGCTATTGCTGCACCTGCCTTCAGCGCGTTGAGGAATCTCATGAAGAGCTCGAACTTGGTCGGCATCGATTGATCCCTTGGCGTGTCCAAATCCCACAACATTTCCGGGTATGTGCTTGATGACGCCCTGATCTCCTTCATGGTAAATTCCTCGTCATTGTCTGACCACCGAAATCGATTGTCGCCCTTGGATGCTTCCTCGGGCGTTCCCGCTGAGTTCTCGACTGCCATCTCGTTAAGCGAGATCAGCAGTTCCACGGTCCTTTTTCCTCTGATTAACGTGTCCTTCAGGACTCCAGCGACAGCTGATGTAATTCGTTCGAATCCATGGAATAACGGCTTCCATCCTCTCTTCCTTTTTGGTACGTACGCCCTGGGTTCTGGAGGGTTGAGGGCCCACGACAGCAGACTCCTCATTGTGACGAAGAACACCAAGAACTGTGTTCCAAAGTCCGTGAAAGCGATAGCGTCCACAATTGTTGCCGCGGTGCCCACTACCGATAGGTGCATTAACTGATACATCAGCTGTGCTGGGTGCACGAAAAGCGATCCATACACGAGGGACGCAATCCAGTGTTGACTGAAGATCGCGATCCATCTGATCACGGCACCGACATCACTCAGTGCCAGAACGATGAGGAAGCTTGTCAGCTGTTCCTCATCAGCGACTTGATCGAATGCTCTTTCTCCCAGAACTAACGCTTGTCTCGTCCTTGTTGCTATTTCTTCTGCGGACGCAACAGTCCGGGCCATCATTTCTATCAGGAGCAGAGCATGGCACACGCACGTAACAAAAAAGTGATCACTATAGTGATTACAGTAAGCTACTATTGTGGTGGCCATCGTCGCCCTACTCCGCCACCATCAGGGGTTGTCATCCACGGTGGCCGTTCCAACGTCATCCATTGCACCTGCGAGTGCTGCTGCCGTCTTGTCCTGTCCTTGAGTCGCTGCTTCGGCAGCCTTTGCTTCCATCATCTTTGTGCAGCCGGTAAGGTGATCGACGCCTTTGTCATTCACCTTGAGTACCCACTTGGTTGTGTCATGGTATGGGCAATAGACGTAGGTCTTGTTGTTGATGGTTTTCTCCTTTGCTTCGCCCTGTTTGGGTGCCACTAACTTCCACGCGAACTTGTCGGCATAGCTGCTCTTTTGGTCCTTCTTGGGTGCGCTCTTTGCGGATGTACTTGGTTGCTTCTCTGCTTTCAAGCTGATTACCTCCGCCTTGAGTGCGATGATCTCCATTTGATCCTCGCTCTTCTTCATCCACTGATCCTTGCTGACCAGAGTCTTGTATCGCTCGAGTGCCATCTTCATGAGAGCTGGATACTCCAGTTCAATGGTACCATCTTCATACACTTCTTGTTTGGTGAACATGTACTGGGTGAAGATCCTATCAGAGCAGTTCGCGTATCCTTCGAAGAGGTTTTCCATCATTGGAGGGACAGTGGCGCTCCTGGCTTCTAGCTGTGCCACCAGGTCGTCGACCAACGTGTTGAATTCCTCCACGTTAGACTTGACCTTCTCCATGAGTACGTCCATGTTGTTCAGCTTCTTGGTGATCAGGGAGACAGTTGCTTTCGTTTCGACTGACACCATCTTGATCAACTCATACAGCATACAAGTCCCATCTTCAATCATAATGGGAGCAGGTGCTGGCTGTCCATCGGGCACAGCAGCCGCGGCATTGACCGTGAATTCGGCTTCTCGTGTCATGAGACGGTTGACCAGTTTGGGCGTGATTGATCCTAGCAACAGCTTGTGGAGGCACGACGATGCTTGGTGTTCTCTCTCTTCAAGTCTGAGATAAGCCACGGCGTGTGCTCGAACGTTCAGGAGAGAGAGACATCCGTGTTGCGTGGTCAGGTTTCGCGGTGTGCCGTCCGTATCGGTCACCACCAAAATTGTTGACCATCCGTAAGCAACTGCCCTTCTCCAGATCTGCCTGAGAAAATCTCGCAGTCCAGATTCGTTTCCGTCATACGGAACTGGGAATGGGTTTGTCGACGCGATAAAGATCTTGACTCCTGTCGAGGACGTGAAGTCCCATGCTGCGTTTCCAGCTCCTGCGGGAGTTGTTGCGAATGGGATGACGGGTGCCTGTGGCACCACAACTGCAGGCGGTCGGATGGCATTGAGCACAGCTGGATTCTGAAGTGCTGCTTGCAATGCGGTTTGTACTGCTGCCTCCACGATTGCTTGGACTTGAGCGGGATCCATTGCGGGTACTTCCTGCCTGGCTTGCTGCTGACGCTCTCTTCTTCTCTGAATTCGCCTTCTGGCTCCTCGGAAGATTTGTTCTTCCTGTTGTGCCTCTTGTGCCCTTCTTTCAGCTCGCTCCTGCCTGTTGGGGAGCTGAGCTTGTTCTTCTTCGGTATCCGAATCAGAAATCTTGGTTGCCTTCCTTCAAGATATTGATAGGAGAGCGGTGTATCCTCAAATGCGAAAGATGTGAGGGTACGGTGGTCGACAGTCCACAAAATTTTACCGCGAGGTGCTCCTAGACGATACTATAGTAAGTGCAGGAGTTGCTCGAAGCATGTAACATTCATGCGCAGAGGAAGCGTGAGGGTTTTTGCTACAATTTGTGAGCTAAATACTCTTTATCATCTACCTATTCCCCAACTGTTGTCACTTGATAATTCAATACCAACAGTTGAGGTTTACAATTTCTTTGCAGGAGTAGAAGCATGCTGACCTTCCAGATTGTTGAGGATCTCATAATCCCTCACAATGTCACAAGGCCATGATTCGATTCTTATTCTCGTTGTCAACATCGGTGCTCTTCTGTCTCATGTGGAAGATTTCGCCGGATCCAAAACAACCTCAAGAAAAGATCCAAACTATCCACGTTTCAGCTCCACGATCGCGACATCGCGACCACGCCACTTCGAACAACTCTTTGACGTGGAGCCCAAACAAAACCAGAGGTTGCAAAAGTCGAAACCAAGAACCACTCGAGACCATGACCAAAACATCAGAAGCAAAGCCGTTTCAGCATCTGCTTGATCAGAAGGACCTTTGGGTAGACAACATTCTTCCATTCGTTGGCATGCGACAGTTTGCCTTTGTTGGTGCTATTAACCACCAATCCAAAAGACATTCTGTGATACCGTGGACAATCCACCCAAGGTGTGGAAACCGAATCAAGAAAATATATGGGTAGAGGGGGCAGCAACTGCATCAGATACATTCTTCAGTGCTGCCTTCGTCAATGTCTCCTGTGCCAAATACTGGGAGCTTGATAAAGACGAGGATGCCATGAGTCCATGGACAGCTGTCTGTCAGGAGGCTGCAAGCATAGGGAGCCTGCAAGTTCTTCAGTGGGCACACAACAAGAATCTCCCATGGAATGAAATGACATGCAAAGAAGCTGCCAAACATGGCCATATGGCAGTGCTAAAATGGGCCAGAGCCAAGGGATGTCCATGGGATGAAATGACATGCAAAGCAGCTGCCAAACATGGCCAGTTGGAAGTGCTAAAATGGGCCAGAGCCAGTGGATGTCCATGGGATGAATCAACATGTGCAGGTGCAGCAGCTAATTGATACTTGGAAGCGTTAAAGTGGGCTCATGAGAATGGTTGTCCATGGGATAAACGGACATGTTCAGAAGCAGCCTTTTGGGGACACTTGGAAATTGTGAAATGGGTCAGAGCTGGAGGTTGTCCCTGGGATGAATTGGTATGCCACTACGCTGCTGGAGAAGGCCATTTGGATATCCTAAATGGGCACATGAACACAATTGCCCATGGAAAAGAATTACTTGCATCACTGCAGCTGGAAATGGTCATTTAGAAATTCTGCAGTATGCCCATCAAAATGGCTGTCCATGGAACGAATTGGCTTGCTCTCATGCAAGTTCTAAAATATGCCCATGACACTGGCCGCCCGTGGGATCAAGAGACACGCTCTAGTGCTGCTGAAAATGGACACTTGGATGTTCTACAGTATGCCCATGAAAATGACTGTCCATGGAACGAATCGACTTGCTATCGTGCTGCCAAAGAAGGTCATTTGCAAGTCCTAAAATATGCCCATGAAAATGGCTGCCCATGGGATGCAGTGACAAGCTCTGGTGCTGCAAAAAGTGGACAGTTGGATGTTTTACAGTATGCCCATGAAAATGGCTGCCCATGGAATGGGCAAAGTGTTTTATGTGCAGCAGCAGCAGGAGGCCATTCCCATACCGGTATGATCAAGTGGATGCGTGACAATGGTTTTTTTGCGTAGCGGATTTGTATACCTGCTCCCTGTCTTTCTAGATGGATTCGTCGATCCCTGAAGCTGTATTATGTCAATACACGTTGCAACAATTGCTGAAGCTTCGAATTGTAGCTGACCTTATTTATGCTATAGCTTTCTATTTGACACCAATTCTACTGAATCGAATCACTCATCTATTTATTTTGTTTATTGTCTATTAGTAGTAGATGACGACGATGAGAAGAGGATTTCGTCTTGTTTTTCTTCAGCCCGTATCAATTGTAATTCCCTGGACGATTGCACCAACCCATTGAGTAGTGGAATGAGACTGAGTATGATCAACGCCGAGACGACCACAGCCGCTGCGGCATCGGCTTCTTCGGGCGTCACCCACTCGACCAGTTCGGATATCGACGATGCGACCAGCACAGCAATGCTTCTCAGGGTATCGGCAAAAACGTGCTGTAACGGTGGGAAAACGCGGATGTTAGTTTGCACTGTTCCATTGTTGTTGTCCGATGCAATGCCAAATAAAAGGATACCACCACAAACAAGCAACTTACTGTATACGCCGAGCACATGTTCAGATTGGCTGTGTGATCTTGATCTTCTTGCTCCTCCTCATCTTCACTACCATCGCCATTGTTTTCATTGTGATGATTGTCCGGTGTGGAGCTGGGACTGTACATGGCAGCCTTGCCAGTTTCGGCATCCTCATGAGTCGTCAGTGCTTCGTGCCCTTGCGGTGGTTGATATTCGTTGGTTTCGTATCCAAACAAGTGTTTTGCCTTTGCAAAATTGGCGACATTGACGAGATCCAATCCCAAATTGGCAATGGAAAAGTACATCATGATTTCAATATTTGGATTTCCCTGTTTGTCAATGGATCGATGTACATCTAGGACCAACACGCGTACAGATTGATGCAAGACAAATCCCGTGACAATGAGCAATGTGGACACGGATATCAAGGGTGGTACCAGCTCGAGTTGCAGGATTTGTTTTCGTCGGGTCCGATCCAGGACGCGTTGTCGTGTTTCGTCATTGTCATTTCCGGTAGTCATGAGAATCGTGGCGGCCCATTCGGGTGTCTCAAAATGTGCCTTTTTGCGTTCGGCATGCCAATTGAAGAGGTATGTCAATGCATCGACAATCATGGCCGCACTGTCTCCCAGCATGGCTTCGGATTTGGCAAAAACAGCCACAATGGTTTGGACCGTGGCAAATGACATGAAGGTACAAAACGCCGTCCCCAACAAATTTTCGTTGTTTTGTCGTTCTTGTTGGGCATGTTGTGGAGAATGGTGATTGTTGTTGTTATTATTATTGTAATAGTCATGATTGTCGTGATTGTCTCGGTGATCAATTTCTAAACTCTTCATTTTGGTGGAAGAATGAGGAGATGTTGTTCCATTATTTTCCTCCGGATGATTGTGGTGACCATTGTTGGTTTGAGGTTGGGGCATGTGAAGATTCCCGCTCAAGTGTTGAGGCCTGGATGGTTCTTGGATCATGCTGCTGCCATTTTGCTGTATACAGTCGTACAGTCCATCACTGAATTTGGTCTCGATAGTCACATGATTGGATGGCATGGTTGGTTGGTATAGTAATAGTATCACACAGTCAGTTGGATTGGATTGAATGAAGATAGAAGATGGTAAACACAACACTTGTTGACTGGTACCGGTATGGTACAGTAAAGTACTGGTATCAATGATGCAGAAAGAAGCCCAATACTGCACAGACGGAAAAAACTAGAATCGAATCAATCTCCCCAAAGCAAAAAGACAGTCTCCCTCTCCCAACAAAGAAACCCAGCACTCCACAAAGAAGAGATAATGGGTAGCAAAGCAGCTATTACTTGTGGTTACAATACATGTACTGCCTTTCCTTGTTACCGTCTTTGCAACGAAGCCGCTCCCACGAAAAATGCGAGACGAAGTGCAGTCCCAGGCCAAGCCAAGCCAAAAATCATTCCAGCTCAGATCTTTCTCAGTCATCTGAATGACGTCATTGTCGAATCCTGTTCCTTCTCATTCTTTCAACAAAGTCGCAAACGGAAACACTTTCCCCTCCCATATCTCGTGTGTTGGAGGCATCGTTGTCGAGCATTGCAAGCAAGGTTTAGAAGGGCCAATAATGGACACCTTTCTGATAGGACAAGTGGCCTTTTGGTGGGCGCAGTACAGGTGGGTTTGGTTGCCCGCTGTGTGGTTACCACAGCTGCCTTATTCGTCCCTCATTTCTCTCCTGAGTCCTGCTCTTTTTCTTTCCAATGATATATAATAATATTCTTTCACCGTCCCCAGTATCAAGCCAGCTGTGATTGTGGACAAGCTGATTGAAATTGCCGTGGATATCCTGGTTCCTCCCAGACAGACCAACCAGAATTCGGGAAGTGCTCATGGGTGGTACGTTGCTTCATTCGCAAAACCGTCTTGTGTTGGAAGCATGTTTGGGGTTGATTGGGCATTGTTGACTTCTAGCTAGGCAGATGATTCGATTCATGGAGGGCCAGATGGCATCTTCCTATTTGCTTCTATCAAGCTCAGCATGTGCCGTTGTTCAATTTATTTGGTTGGTTTGCACGGCATCAATCTACTCTGTCAGCAGTGTTTTTGTCACCTTTCCCCAACCATCCCTTTTTGACCTGACCTGATTGAATCATGCATTCATTCATTCCATTTAATAATTTATTTTTAGGTTCATGAGCCGATGGAACTCGTTGGACCGTGCTGCGGAAAAGACACAACGAGAACTTGAAATTCGCAACGATCTGCGAAGATGGGATCGAGACAATCCGGAAATGAGGCATGAAATCATTGTACGGACCATTGTGTCGGGAATGGTGTCGGTGATTGCTACCAATGTCTACATTAGCTTTTGTCGGAGGATTCGTGGCAATGATAGTCGAGGAGGAAGATATCATTGATTGATTGATCTTTTAAAAACATGATTACTGTACGTACTATCAATCGCAATAGTTGTAGGTATAGTGAACCGGACTCGTGTCAGCGGCACTTTTTCGTACCCGGAAGATGTGAATGATAGGTTGGCATCATTGGATGGTTGAGGCCACAACGGAGACCAAGGAAAGAAGATAGTACTTCCATTGTACGTGTAGGATTGGAGTGTCAGGCAGAGAATCCACTCTCTGCAAATCTGCCCAGTTTTGATGTAAGGCAGCCTCGAGAGAAGAGCGACGGCGAGCCTTTATTCTTCCTGCCTCTTGCTTCGTATTCTTAATTTTTCATTTAGCTCGCCATGATCAGCAGAAGGGGCGACAAAAGAATTGTATCTGATGATGTGATGATGATGGTGCAACTTGATTCCAGATGCGGTTTCATTTTGTAGATGATTGTGGAGGTTTTTGTGGTACGCTTGTTTTTGGTCGCTGTCTCGTGTCGATGGAGCTTTGACAATGCTGCAGTGCAGCTGTAGGCTCCATTTTCAGTACGTGATCAAACGAAAAAATAATGGATTTTGTTGGTCCAGGAAATCAACAAGGCACACAAAAATACAACGTCATGAATAAATTTTCTCTTCTATCGTAACAATATCATTTTTTCAAATGATCGATTATTGATGATTGATTGTGCATAGTGTGCCACTGCTGATCATTCCACTGGATCCCAAAGAATAACTTCGGCATCGACCAAAACACACAACAACGGCCACTGCCCCAGACTCCGCATTGCTTGACACGACTCGGAGATTTGTTTGTTTTTCTTTTTCGATTGTTTGTTGCTGCCTACACATCATAGGTCTTATGTTCGCTCTTCAGACCAAGGCCTCCTTAGCAACCACCAGTCTGCTCCAACATGCAATCAATTTGATCCTGGTCGTCCAACTCCAGCATCTTTGGTGTTTGATTGGGTTCAATACGTTCGCCATCTAGCAAAAATCGAAGCGACGAAGCTTGAACGCCCTTTCGTTGGGCGTAAGTATCAAACACCTTCTGCATCTTGGTACTCTTCTTGATTTTGAAAAAGGTCTCTTCTCCGGTCTGCGATGGTATGGTAGCAACGAGAGAAGAACACGGTCAGAGAGCAGCAGTTTCAAACGGTAACAGCCACCGTCACGGCAGCGCCGCAATTATCATTGTTGGACTCACCTGATCACGGACGCGGATAGTAATGGGCTCAGCTCCTTCGGTCTTGGCTTCGTCTGACATGGTGGTTTTGTTACTCGAACGATAAAAGAATGGACGCTACTAGCTAGCTGGCTAGAAAAGAATGATAGAATGGCAGCGGGGATCTTCGGTTTTGATGCAACGAGGGCTGAGACTTCGTTTTGTGCAGTCTGTGCGAGAGAACACAAGTAACGGCAAACAATGCGGACGCAAGCCAGCCTTGGCTTTCGCGCTCGAATGCTGCACAGCTGGGTTGGCGTGGAGTCGTGAATATAAGTCACGAACCCTTGAGTTTAAGATTTATATTTGAGGGCAGACGGGCAGACGGATGAAGGAGTTACCACTTACTTGAAAATGGCTTTACAGCGGTTGTTGGCTCTGGAGACGAGTGCCAACATCCCAACGACCTTCATCACCCGTATCTACATCTTCCTTTTTGTCTCTTCTTCTATCTCTCTTTCAATTCAATCAAGATGACGGTCGCTGGTATCATGAAGCAATACCAGGTGGTTGGTCGCAAGGCCGCCACCGATGATCATCCCAACCCAGAGGCCTACCGTATGATCATCTTTGCCCCCAATCCTGTTGTGGCCAAGTCCAAGTTCTGGTACTACATGCATCAGTTTCGTAAGATGAAGAAGACCACAGGTGAAATCTTGGACGTCAATGAAATTGTCGAAAAGAACGCCAGTATCGTCAAGAACTACGGAATCTGGTTGCGTTACCAGAGTCGTTCTGGTACCCACAACATGTACCGTGAATATCGCGATATCAAGTTGACAGGAGCCGTCAGTCAGCTCTACGATGAAATGGCCGGAAGACACCGAACTCGTCCTCGTTCCATCCAGATCATCCGTACCGGTACCGTCAAGGCCGCCGACTTGAAGCGTGTCAATGGAATGCAGTATGCCAAAGCCAAGGTCAAGTTCCCACTTCCCCACCGAGTCACATCGGCAAAGCGAGGACAAAAGGCTCTCACCACAGCCACCTACACCACAGTGCGCCCTACCACCTTCTTTGGGTAAGACAGACGTTGCAAGAAGAAATAATTATAATGATAGTACTTTTCATTCCAAGGTTGCCCAAACTAAAGTGAATGTAGGTAGCAGCTCGGTATCTATCCCATCATGGGGTTTATGTACGAGCTCCAAAAAGCTAGGACAGGCTCAGGTTGGGTACTGGTACACTGAACACGATGCTTCAAAGCTGGCTCACGAGGGTAGTGAGGTTAGGTTGGCCATAGGTAGCTAGCTAGTACCGGTACTAGCTACACTAAGTCTTCTCCAAGTGGCTCTCTTGAGGCAAACTACCTCTACCAGCCAGAGACCCTCAATTTCGGTCGTGCTTTCGGGCTGGCTAGTGAACTGTGCTGTCGAGATGAGAGTTTAGGTTGCATTGCCCAGGCTTGTAGAGAAGCGCTGTTGCCGGCCCCTCATTCAGTGCCGTCAGAGAGAATGCCGGGTGCACAGGTTGTCGGAATAGATCTGTTCCTGGCTGGCATAATGTACGGCTTGGATGAAGGGAAACGAGCCTGTAATCCGTTTTCATTGAAGAAATAAGGTGGTGGAAGCTTGCGATCAATGGTTGGGTATGAGCTACCTGCCAAAGTCACACACTCTAGAGTCCGTGCATCCATGCCCACTCCAGCAATATCAAGATCCTGCTGGAACACGATACCGGTATCAACGAGCATTAATAATAGTCACCCTCCTAGCAAAATTATCCTTCCTAATGTACAGTATCTACAGCCACCATCAATGTTCCCATATAGACCTTGCGCACAATCTTTGTAAGTTGTCTTCATTATTGCAATGTTCCAAGTTGTCTTCATTGCAATGTCGTCGACTTGTCATCTCTCGTTGAATTCAATCTTGTACATGTTTGGCCAAAGCTTTCCAGTAACCCATAGTTCTTTTGTTGGACTAATGGCAATGCCATTCAACACGTCAGCCGAGAAGGGTCTGTTGAGCATGCCCATGCCGTACACGACAAGCACGGCTCCTGAGATTGGATCAATGCGCAAAATATTATCTGTCCGCCAGACATTCGCCAGCACTGTCTGAGTATCATTATCCCATTCAATCTCATTGAGATCATTAACGGGAAACTTGGGTCCGCCTTCATCCAATTGGAGGGTGACTTGAATACGTGCACCTCGTTGAGATCACGATCCCAAAATGCAGCATGCTAGATCCATCCGTGACGAGAAACTGGTCTGCAATTGGGTTGTAGGTTATCCCCCATCCTTGGTTTCGTTCTGTTTCAAACCTGAATTCTTCCAGGACCGTGAGGGTTTCGGCGTCAAAGATAAAGCCCCTTTGACTTTGCCATGTGATGTGGATTAGTCTGCCCTCTGCCGGTGTTGTCTTTGTTGTGTAGTACGCCAAGCCTTCTCCGAACATTTCCCTGGATGTATCTGTTTTCAGGAGTACTTCTCCAGTCGTAATATCAACTTTTCGAACACTTGATCTTCCGTACAAGCCAGTTGACTCATAGACCACTGAGCTGTCCAATGGATCAAAGGTCAGCCCTTGAGTGAACGCTTGGGAATCATGGGATATCGTTGCCAGGACCGTAAAGGAATCGACTATCACAGCGAGTCCTGGGGGCGGTAAGGGTTGTATCATAATAGACTCTTCTGTGTCGGCATTGCTGCTGTCTTGGGTGATGTCTCGGGATATATTTTGAGTGGCATTGGTGAAAGTGTGATTGGATGCAACAGTTCCATTCATGCTAAGGGGCCCGTCTTCTAGGGCATCATCCGAAAGATCATCGGTGGAATTTGACGATGTTGATGAGTGCAGGTCGTCAAGAGTTACAGATAATTGTGTTTTTGAGTCGAACCCTGCTTTTGGTTCCAACATGGCTTCAATGTCATCCTCGTGCTCACCATTGCTGCCCCTCTTCGCCTCGGCCACCGGAACTGCCACAGCCACAACAACACAAACCATCAACAGAATTACGCCTACAAAAATTATTCGCCTCTTGGAGGACTGGGCCCTTTGGCCACCTTGGTGATCCATCATGGTGGCGAGGGTACGATGTATCTTTAGAAAATAGAAACAATGATTGCGTTCGACTTCAGTGCCGACCTTCGATAACTTTGCTTTCGTCCAACTGATGCCAGAAGGGGGCGAAAGCAAAATTTTGGTTGGATAGCACTGTCACATCAGTGTACTAAATCACAAAGCATGAATGTTAAATCTGTCATTGCCGTTCCCGCAAGTTTGGAGTTAGTGGCCCGAGCAGCTCAGATCTTGCATTCAATCTTGTGTTTTGTGTGCAACGTTTTACCAGGTACAGTACCGTACTACTAGTAGAGTACCAAGCGAACATGCCAAATCAACAGTTACGGTACTCGTCTGTGCTACATGCTCCTTGTTTCCCCCGATGCTCTCATGATATCGGAAGATTCTGCTTTGCATGCGTAGGAGACATCTCTACAGTATCAAAGCAACCTGGACGTTGAGTGACCTGGTTCCACCCGAGCAATGCTTCTCTGCAACAAAAGCCGCCATAGGGACTCACGAACTTCCTTACTGATGTATACCCATTCCAATAGCGGAGCCTGGTACCACTTGAGTGGTACCTGGTGAGTTTTCCTGCAAACTACTACTAGGTCTAAGTCTTGAGGTTGCGAAACTGTCTGCTGGATGCCTTTGCACTTGATGCCTTATTGATGCGGGGCTTTTGCCCCTCACACTCCCTTCCATACTCGGACAGCTTGACTCAGCTTGCTGGCTAGCTCATACATGTAGCACAAGGACGACATCTTGGGGGGAGATCCGAGCCAGCATCGACGTTGACACTCATCAGATGAAACCTCAAAGGTGGATCTAGCTAGCTATTAATAGTAGCCCAAATTACTAGACTTCCATAAAGCATTAAGTAGGCTTCTGGTTGCAGTCGGCAGCAGGCAGTAGGCAGTAGGGGTTCCGTCGAGGAGCATCTTGATAGCTACCGGAACCGGCCGAGGCGTCTTCATGAGCTCTTCATGAATTGGCATTGCCAATCGCAAAGGTAGATTGGGAAGCAGAAGCCGCTCATCCCTCTTCAATGGATCCCGGAAACAGAAACCACCACCCCACCTCTCCAGCTCCAAGGTATCAATAACACTCCAAACTCATTCATAAGAATCTAGAGTACATTATAACTGTGTGCGAAATTTTAAAATACACTAAAGTAGTCTACTAGCTAGTAGCTTGCAAATAGTGCGAACCGTTGTGGATGAGGACTCGAACCCCAAACCAAGGAAAAGTTAGCGATATGCCGGACATCTTGGTACTTGGTACTGAGATTTGAGCAGATGATACTGCCAGCTGTAACTTGATAGGTACTGAGATTAGGCTAGGCCCTCAAGATTGGTCCCTTTGTGAATCCACCCCTGCGAGGACTCCTACACAACTCAACGGCGATGGCTGCGGCGCCTCACCTGTGCTTTCATCGACACCCTCCTGCGCAACGACACTCCAGCACGCCAACCTTTTCTCAAGAGGACACGACCCTGTACCGCCAATGGACCACTCTGTCCCTTCTTGAAGGACAACTGCCCATCCGGTAGCTGCCCTGAGCACCATTTCCTTTGCTCGTTTCAACTCACACCCGTCTTTCATCCCAGCACCGACTCGGAGGCTACTACGAGCTTCTCTGTCAACTAAGGAGAGGAGCCATAGAGTAGTGCAGTAATAACTTATTCTAATCTAGCAATTCCTAGCTAGGTGCTGGGAGGATAGGGGAGCTCTGCTTGGGCATCTGGTGCTACCCGAACCCTCACAGCACCGGTGGAGATTTTAAAACAACAAACAAACAAATTCCACAAACATATTCTTATAAATGAGGATATAATCTGGAGTGTCCACATACATTTTTGTCGAGGATCAAGAAAGGTGCCTTGTAGTGAGTGTACACTGTACCAGTTCCGATGTACTCACTGTGTACTGTGTACTCTACTCATCAGTAGACTATGATATATAATATATACTACTGTAGTATGTAGTACGAGTAGTCTAATCCTACATTAGTCCTTGAGTGAAAGTTTCGAAGCAACAAATAAATTTGTCCTCGTAAGACATTTTAAGAGTCGTGGGAACTAGGACAGAAACGTTGTTTAAGAGTTTCGAGAAGGTAAGTTGATCTTAAATGTCGCTTTTGCAATGGTGAGAAATTTTGCAGAGAGGAAGGTGACTCAATTTGATTTTGGAGGTGTAAATTTATTTTGTTTCCATAGGTAAAACGAAAAACCTGGTTTCAAATCACTATGAATAAGTATCTCTTTTGACAAATCGGTAAAACCAGCAAGTTTCACACCTACTGGTAGTTTCAACAAAAACGAAAATTGAAACTCAAGTTTCACTGAAACTTGGGCACAAGAATGCATCTCTTTCCTGACTTCCGCAAGAGACAGTCAGGACAAAACAGTACTTAGTACACACTCTCTCCTTCCAAAGCTGATCTGCGGGCAGCGCCGCATTTACGATGTACTCAAAAAGCCATAGTAAAATCAGACAGATGATGAGCTCTTTTGGAGGGAGGAGGGAGACGACATTAAATTTTTTCGCAGAATGCGAACTCAAGCATGTATTTCTTCGCTTTAGAATCGCTTCCACATTGACTGGAACGAGCTCTGGGACGCTCAACGCTCAACGCTCATACGCGTGTTCTTCCGAAGACAAACTATTTTCACTCTTGATGAGTTGAAGACTGTTGAATGAGGTGTGAAGGTTTCTGCGCGAAAGATGCAATGTCTCATAATACTGTATTATTCCGGTATCCATGACCAACACAGTGCAGGTTTTTACCGTCGCCTGCTTTCTTGAGACAATACCTCCAAGTTATCCTGCTCTCGCTGGCACTAGCTAGCCAGTAGCTCGCTTCATCTTCTTTTGGAAACAAAAGATGACAAGCGTAACAAGGACTAATGTTGATGGTGACTTCTACAACGCATTGGATCGTTCTGACACTCCACCGTCGCTGGACGAAATCCAATGGATTGTACACGCTGATCCAGGTGTTACAACCCGTTATGTTCTCCTTGAGGACTGCCAAACTCCTCTGTACAGAGCTTGTCTGAAGGAAAAAGTGCATAGCCATGTCATTGATTACTTGATTGCACAATGGCCAGACAGTGTCCGCTTGCCTGAGAAGCATGGTGACTTGCCAATCCATGCTGCATGTAAGAATGGGCTGGACATATCTGTCATCAAAGAGCTTGTGTCTCGTTTTCCAGAGTCGGTCGGGAAGAAGGGGTCTTCCTTGGGAACCCCATTGCACTTCGCTGCTGTTGCTTCCTTGGGCACCTCAGGACCATCCTTGGAAGTTGTTAGGTTTCTCCACGAAACGTACCCAGAAGCCATTCAGGAGAAAGACGAGGAAGGTTCTCTTCCAATACATAATGCCGCACTTGCCGCTGATGGTATTGGTGAACAGAATGGAGTGGTACGCTTCATTGCAGACGCTTATCCTGAGAGCTTACTTGCTGAGGATGACTGTGGTAACTTGCCACTGCATTGTGCTTGTGGAGGCGGACTTCAGCTATCAACTGTTCGATTCCTCGTTGAGCTTGCACCCCAGAGTCTTCACCATAGAAATAAGTATGGGGACCTTCCACTGCGTTGGGCATTACTGAACAAGTCCGATGCTTCAGTGCAGATACTTGACTATCTCATCAGTCTGCAGCCTGACTTGCATGAACCTGAGATCCTGCACTGGTGTTATGGAGACATCAGCGCTGGCAATCCTTTGTTGGTGGAATATCTGATCCAGAAGTTCCCCCAGTGTGTGCAAGTACAAGACGAGAACGGTCAGATTCCCCTACACAAGGTAGCTTATTTGCCCTTCATCAGCAAAAAGTTTGAATTGATGAAGCATGCCCATGTGACAATGCTGGTGGATGCTTATCCAGAGGGGCTTTTTGTCAGAGCAAGCAATGGACAGACACCATTGGAAGCACTTTTGAACCGTCAATGCTTGGAAGAAACTCGAGAGTTCATGGAGGAGACAATGAAAGACATTCTCAGTGGCTCTCTCAAAAATAGTGAAGTTGCCTTCTGAGTGCGGTTCCTGTAGAGGACTTATGTTGGTGGCATCACCACATCTTGGAAGACTCGGAGGGCGCTGTGCGGGGATTGCTAGACTATTTCATATGTATAAGGATTGTTCATGGTCTTTTTCACTGTGTGTGTGGCGAAGCTAGATTCAACTTGAGCCTACTACTAGTACGGCTGCATTATTAAAGTTAGGTTCTGCTAGCTCAGCACAACTAGCTCCACTTTGCACTCCTTTTCGTTCTTCGTGCTGACAGTGAGGTTACGACTCCTCTAGCGGTGCGCTATCTCCACCGGCACCAGCAGGACTAGTGCCGCCATTCGTAACAAATTTCAGCGTATCCTCCACGTTCGGTGTACGGATTCCTTGCTTGGCAAAGAACTGACGTACGCTTTGCAGATCACCGCGCAAGAGATCAATGGCATCAGGGTGTTTTGAATCAACGGTGTGCCCAAAATCTATCAAAACAGCCGTATCAGCTTCGTACTCTTTGCTGTCACTGGTCAATGTGAGGTCGATGAGGTATCGAGGTACAACAAGGATGTTGGTTTCGTTGAGGCTCCCGTGCACAAGCATGGCAGTGGTGTATAAACTGAAACACAAGACAAAAAGTGAGGTTTTCAGTGTATGTGTTAACGCTAGATTGAGATTGAGGTGCTCAATACTCACCGTCGTATCGCCTCTACAATCTGTTTGTAGAGAGTCTTCCAAAGTTTGTTGTTCCGGCGAAGGTCCAACTCCCCCAATTGGGGTGCTGGCCTTCCATCAGTTCCCATGAATTGCATGAACAAGATATTGTTCTTTGTGAAGATTGGCGCCGGTGATGGGATGCCAAATTTTCTCGCTTTCTGTAGGTTCCGGAATTCCTTGATAGTCCAGAGCTCCAACTGTCTTTCACTGCTAATGTTTTGAAACTGTGGCAGATCACGTTGGCTGTCATCCCCCATGTCGCCGCCGCCTCGTTTGTAGACCTTCACTGCAACATCGAACCCATTACTCTTGGGTCCCTTCTCCGCGTAGTAAATTGTGGCTTCCTTGCCGGTTCTCACCACACCGTGGAGCTGGCTGATAATACCTTTGCCAATTGCACGTTGAATCTGAATTCGGGTGTCGGCATCCATCTCTCTCGAGGCCGGTGCATCGGCAGTGGATCCTGAAATTAGATTTTGGCTGCTACCTGAAAGGAGATTTTGGCTGCTTCCCATTTTGCGGGAGGATCCCAGCTTCCACATCAGAGACGACACGCCCTTCTTGACGGATCCGAGCACCTTACTGTCACGTCGAGTTTGGCGACTTTTCTTCTCGCCTGGATGAGGACTAATAGTGGCGGCATTTGCCTGGGTCGCATCCTTTCCAAGTTTCTTCCTTGAAAATGGAGGGGAGAGGGGTGCTAAGCCAGTGTTACTTTGTCGAGAAAGGTCACTCAGTCGCAACGATTGCTGCCTTTCTGACAAAGAGAGGGGGTGTCTCTCTTTGCTTGACGTGGAACCACCGAGTCCTGATCTCGAATCAGGAGGTTCAAAGCTACGATCAGAGGCCGGGGGTGTTGCAGCATGAAGCGCTCGGGGACTTAAGTCTTCATTGTGGTCAGGAGAGAGCTCAGACGAGTAAGATTCGCCATGTGCAGGCAGGGACTGATCATGCCTTTGACTTTGACTCGCACGAGTGGAGAACAGCGAGCCGCGAGACGATCCTCCGAGGTAACGTGAGGAATGATGCGATGTATAGGATTCTTCGAAAGTTTGACGCTCAGAACCACGTGGAGACCGCCCTGGCGACAGCGGCTCTTCCACTGCACGATGCTTGCGAACTGGGCTGACTGTTCGACCGGTGGCGACTTGACTGCTAATCCCTTGATTCAGTGATGAGATTGATTCTTCCAATGGGTGTCGCGTTGCTGGATCCGGGCTGGTGGATCGCACGGCTCCGATTTGACTAGATGATCTTCCGAGTGCCATTGACGAATAAGAGTCTTCCAAGGGATGCCTCAAACGCTCTGGACTGGACGAGCGAACCGCGCCCACTTGGCTTCCTCTGCTTTGGTGCAACGACGCATAGGAATCGTCCAAAGGATGTCGAACACGATCCGGGCTGGAGGAGCGAACAGCTCCAACTGGGTTCGCTCTACTCTGCTGCGACGAAGGATGACCTCTCTCGGGGCTCGATGATCGCCGGGCCCCAACCTGGTTCGGTCTGTTGCCTGGAACTGCCGAGAAAGGTACCTCTGGCATTTGCCCCGCACTAGAAAAACGGCCTCTTTGCTGGTCCGAAGACACACTGGAGTGTCTCTCTGTACTGTCCCTAGAGGTGCCCCCCCGTTCCATCGACGCTCTCCTTTCTTCCTCCTCCTGCAGTTGGCGCGCCAAGCGGATAGATTGCCTTTCTTCATCGTCCTTCGCCTGCTGCAACGCCAACTCCAACGCTGCAGCTTCGCTCGATATAGCGTCTTGCGGGCATGCAGGAATACTCATTGCTTCAGACATGGCCGTTGGGTTACTTTCAATTGGTGCGCCATAAGGAGTCCTGGGGGAGATTCTATCATGTGTTGGGTCCGAGCAGTCTCGTGTCAAGGGTGGGCTCCTGTCATCGTGCCTCAAGCGACGATCGTCGTATTGATTCTCAGGGGCACCGGGAAAGCGGTCATGTGTAGATTGCATTGGTTCACTGCCGCGCAAATCCTCCGATCCCGAAAGAGCCCTGTTAATAAGATCGAGTTTATCTCTCGTCAATCGCGAATCGACGGGCTCTATGTCGTGCTCGTATCTTTCTCCAGCTTCAGGCAACGAATCTCTTTGCATTTGCATCGATAGGTATAGAGCGCGCTTTAGATCTTCGTCGAATCTGTCATGTTCGGGAATGGAATTAGCCTGAACATCTAAAGTTCCTCTGTATTCGATCGCTCGAGAGAACTCATGGCTACTTGCCGATGGGTGTTGCTGCTGCATTCTAGATCGTCTCATGTGGTCTCCTTCTGACGGACTCGGCTCGTAGTATCTGCTTGGGGTCTCCCGCATCGCAGCTGGCAAAGGGGGCGGTTGTGACGGTCGCCAGCTATTGCGTTCATACATTGCGCGCTCATAATCCTCTTTACGGTAACGCTCGTAGTCATCCTGCCGAAAGTGAGAAGAAAAAATGCTGTACTGTGTCGACTCACCGAGAGACGAAACGCTATTCTGACGACCTTGCGATATCCAAGCTTCTCGTCGATTCCGTTGTTCCACCTGCACTTGTTGTGGGACAGCGGGGGGGATATCTGTTTCGTCTCGTCCAAGATCGTCGTCTTGTGGGTCGCGTCGATGCCTTTCAAATTGCTCATTATCGTATGGACCTCGTCGCCCAGGTGACTGATGTTCACGATCATTGACAAAGTCCCCTTCATGGCTTCGTCTGTCGCGCCCGAGTCCCATATGGGGGTGCTCTCGAATCGTATCTCGCTGATGAAAATCAAACTCATTCGTCCCTCTTCGATGTTCATCTTCCCACCGTCGGCGGCGATGATTTGGGCTATGATGGTTGTCGTCGTGCTCTTGGTCTTGGTGCTCGTCACCCCTCCTTTGTCCCTGTCTCCAATCCTGAGTTGAATCTTGCTGCCCCCCCAAATGATACGAATCGCCCCGGAATGCTACGTCGGGATCCTCACCGTGTCTGTCGACGCGTTGGTCGGTATGGGTCTGCCCAACGTGATCATTCCTTCGCACAGTATGTTGGCTTTGCTGGTGGAAGTTGTCCTCGCCTTGCTGATCGTTTTCATCTTCTACCCTTTGTGCTGCTCTGGCTTCGTCCGGTCGCTCCGATATCGAATCAAGTCCCTTAGCGTCGATAGGCTCTGCCTGATCCTCCACATCTCTAGCAGTTTGCGGTTTCTCAGCAGTGGCAGTCGTTTCTGGTCTCTGATTATCCCAGTTTTCTGCAGGATCGACCCTTGCATCATCCTCCCTTGAAGTCTCATCGGTTCGTTTGCTTTTCTGCTCCACTGGTGCATGATCTTTGGCAGTGGTAGTGACAGGAGGCTCGCCGTGACTTGACGCTGAGACAGACAATTCATCCAATCTCTCACTGACTTCATCGACTACGTTGTCATCCCTGATAGATTGACTTTCGTTTGTCGCAGGCTGCGGGGACACCTCCTTGTCGGGTTTGACTTCTTGCTCCTCTTCCACAATGACCTGATTGTTCCGAGCACGAGTCTTCTCAGAAGCAACCGAGCTCCTTGTAGGCGTGCTCATCGAAGGACTTTCTTCGGTGATGCCTCCAAGAACATTTTCCGCTTCCTCTTCATCCTCTTCTTCCTGGTTGTCGAATAGCGCCGGAGGAAGAAGCGCCACACCCCGAACAGTTCCTTTTGACGTCACTGTGTGGGGGCTCATGGCCAAGGAAGCTTGTTGTCGACTGTTATCTGTATCAGAAGAGACGATGGAAAACACGCTCTCTTCGCCCTTGTGCTGGTTCAAGAATAGCGTATCCGAACCAAAGGTGTTTACGCTGTCACCAAATTGGCTAACACTGTAGTCCAAGTCAACACAAACGGAGCCAGGGGCTCTGGCATAAGGCAATGCGGCCAAGGCCGCGGAGAGCTTCGGCTGACGATTGTTTCGGCTGTGCTGAGAGGACCCAAGCCTTGCCTGCCGATTGCTGGGAGGAAGGTCAAAGACTCTAGGGGTTTGTCGTGTAGATGAAGAGGAAAACGATCCAGACCCTTCAAATTGCTGGGAATCATTATTTTCTTCGGCTGTTTGCACTTTGTCGAGTTGCTCGTCAAGCTCTGTCTCCTTGGATTGAGTAGCCTCTTCTTCTTCTTCCTCATCTTCAGCATTTTCTCTCACATCATCCTTGGGACTATCGACTCCTTTCTCCGTTTCTGCCGATTCCTTCGGCTCCTCCTTGGACTGCAGCGAGCTCTCTTCCTGTTCGTCTCGGATTTCTTCCGTGTCGCTTCCTTCTTCACTAGGCACCGGTTCTGCGTGTTGGTGCATCTCGTTCGTCGAGTCATTTTCCAATGGGATAGGTGGGACAGTGCTTTCGAAATTTGTTTGTTGTTCGGGTGCAGTTTCGGTGTCGTCAGCAACATCCGTTGGTGGGACCGGTTCTGACTCTGCGAGCTCTTTTATCTCTGCAAGCACTTGATGTGAAGCACTCGAGCTAATGGAGCTTCTCCTTCGTTGTGGGCTCCAATCATGCCTGGGGATAATAGGAGTTCGCTCGGATTTTGCACTCCCATCTCCGCGACTCTCAGGTCCCTGCTGCCAATCACTGACAGAGTCATACGAAGCGCTCCGTCTAGGAGCCCCCCTGGTTGGCGCTACTCGAGGCGGCCTGTCTCCCCACGAACGAGTCTTGTTGTCCCTGCTTTGGTGGCTACCGTTGCCAGTGCTATTGTTGGTGGCTGAGTCATACGAAATGCTCCGACCCGGAAGCCCCTTAGCGCTGACCCGCGGTGAGATATTCCTCGGTCTCGCTCTCCGTGAGGAATTGAAAGGACTGGTTGGATTTGGCGGAGACCGGCTGCGGTTGCCACTATTATTATTATTGCCCTCCAAAGCCATCATGAGCTCAGCATATTCTTCCTGCGACAGCGTGTTTGCCGCCATGGCCCGATTTATTTCTTCCTTGGCCATGGCTAATGAATCTCCGGAATACGTTCGCCGAGGCGTAGACGTCGTTGCCGCAAACCGTGGATTCGGTCTGTAATTTCTCGGCGGTTGTGGTTGTGGCCTCGGGGAATACGATTCTCCTCGTGGGTGACTACTTATTCGCGGGTCCGAATTTCGGTGGTAAGGATCATCTCCTCTGCTACTCCGCGGATTGAGCGGAGCAGCTGGATCGGAATGGGTGGTGGAACGCTGCATATGTTGTTGTTGTTGCTGTTGTTGTTGATGAAGTGGAAAATGCTGCTGATGGTGATGCGGCATCAGATGACCGTCGGAATGTGACGAATGTTGAGCAGGGTAATCCCGTTGGACGGGCAGATGATGCAGGTGTTGTTGTTGTGGTTGGCGCGCAGCGGAAGAGTGCGACGACCGTTTCACTATTATTTGTTCATTGTTGTCGTGGCGAGCACGTCTGTCATTGTCGTGCAGGGCTTGCTCAATTTCATCTAATTCTTCTTGTGATAGGTGTTCTAATGCCGATGCACGTAACAGCAAATCCATGGTTTCTTGCGCGGACAAGGTGGACGCTTGAGAACCTTGTTGTGGAGGGGAGGGAGGCGGACCATTGTCCATTCTATTGGGGTAGCGTCCTCGGCTGCCATAGGACGAGTGCGACCCTCCCGAGTGTTGTGTATCTGTGGAGACAGGCTGATGCGCTGCTATACGTCTTTGATGAGGATTGATGGCAAGATTGAGTGCCTGTTCGACCAAAATTGCTTCTTCTTCGGATAAATGTTGTCTCGCAGTTGCTATGACGGCATTACGAGCTTCATATCGAGGATTTTCCAGGATCTCTCGTGGTGTTCGTTCGACAACTGGTCGATTGTGGTATTCCGGCAAACTCCGTCGGCCAAAATTGGTTCCAATGGACGGGCGGACAGCATAGGGAGTAGTCGGAGCTGACCCAGAGGGGGCACTTGGGTAGCTATAACGAGGATGCATTGGACCTGGTGACATGCGACCGTGATGGAAATTCGGTTCTGATGCGGCACCCATTCGACTATAGGTATGATGAGGACTGTCCACCACCGTTTCCGTCATTTCTTCGACTTCTCCTCGGAAACTTGCACTACGGGGATATTCCCTGACAGACACAGAAGCCCTTGGTCGATGTACAATTGGGGAATTCGTGGAACTCGCCAAACTCCTCATCGAATTTTCCCTCCCCTCCATTCCCCTTACATTGTCGTATAGGGGGTTCCCACGGTACATGTCTGGTTGTCGATTGTTGTAACTGGAGTGTCGATGTGACAGTCTATCGTCGTGGGCGGGTCTGTGTGGTGGTTGCTGGTGTGGATGGGAAAATGACTGATGATGGGCCTGATGAAGATCCAGCGAATGCGACGACACGTTCCGTCTGCTGCCTCCCGGATAGGGATCGTAGCCGTTGTGTTGCATGGTAGGCATGGAACTGTGAAGGGGTTGTCTCAACTGCGAGGGTGGATTCGTATGCAGAGTTTGAGATCCTTGAAAGTCGTTCAACGATCGTTCCAAGGCAAATTCTATCATCTCCTTCTCCTGCTCTCGCTCCAGCCATTCCATGTCCGTCATGCCATGGTCATTTGTAGCGCCTGGAACCTGCATACTGGTGCTGTGGTCGTCTTTTCCATGCACTCTCAGAATTCAATCAATCAATCAATCAATCGGAATGGTAAAAAATGAAGCCAAAAGAGTCCCCTCAACCCTCTCGGCATTCCCTACAAATTCAAATATACTCGCAGGACCCTTTCGTTCAGCTAGGCTTCTAGCTAGCTTGCTCGCCACCTCTGTAGTCTTGGCACTTGATCGCTTCTGCTGTAGCGTCTCTGCCCAGCCGTCATGTAGTCATGTAGCTGCGTCCCCAAAGGCGATTGAGGGGCTGTTCTTTCCTTTGCTCGGCTGATGATGTGTCACAGTCGCAGCAACACGCAATCCAGCTGAGCTACCGCCACTTTCAGATATTGAATTCATCCGAACGGTAAGACTGGTTCAGTGTCATACTAGTAAGTGAGTTGGGAGTTGGGAGATGAGGGAGGTTATAAATGGTTTTTGTGTTGAGGGGTAGCGCTAGCAATAAGGGTCGTCAGATTTGTCCTTTTTCAAAAGTTACTTTTTCACTTTCGTGAAATCTGTGGTTGAGCACCTATTTCTTCAGTTGACTCTAGATTTTTACCTTCGGAGATCCTTCTGGCCAATTTTGTCTTTAAAAACACATTGTTAAGTCTCCTATTCGACTGGGACAGACATTTCAGAGCTGGACAAGAAAGAGCACAGAAAATACGGACCACAGAGGTCCAGTCATACATGAACGTGAACACATCATGTGAACCAGCTACCTGGTACCAAACCTACGGTAGCTACATTGTACTCGACCAAAGCCAGCAAAAGCTGGAAATACAGACAACGAGGGATGGACTGGTGGAATGTCTACGGTAACGGTATCATGATGATGCAGAAAGCTGCTTGCCAATGATGCTAAATGGGCAGAGTGCAGCTAAGACAACCAACTCGGCAATTCTTCGACGTGTGCAGACTAAATAATAGAATCTCTTACTAGTAGAGTGTAACGCAATGCGGCTCAATCAAGGACGGCTTCCTGTTGTTGGTATTGGGCAAGGCTAGCTAGATGTCATGAAGACTTGTAAGGCTCAGCCCCGCAGTGCTACGGTAGCCACCCCGCAGAGAGCTTTCTCTGCACACCACAATGACCCACTGTCGTGCTGTCACTCCAGCTTCTCTAGTTCCTCCGCGATCTCCCTGACGTCTCCTGCTACCATGCCATCCAGTGCAATCGATCCAATTCGAACCCGGATTAATCGGAGTGTCGGAAATCCCACAGCGGCCGTCATGCGTCGCACTTGTCGATTCTTTCCTTCTCGGATGGTGATGGATATCCAGCTGGTGGGCCCATGCCGCGAGGATTCGTCTCGTATGTGTAGGTTGGAGGATGGTGGAGCAATACCGGGTGGTACACGCACGCTCTTGGCATTTAATAGTTTTGTTGTCGTCACATTGGATACATCCACTGGATTTTGATCACAGTCCTTTGCCTTGTGGCCCGTCTTGCCGCATGTGTTGCAGGTCCCCCCAAAGTTTCTCTTTCTCTTTCGTTTGGATACTGCCACTGGCCCTGCAGAGGGATTCTTTGCCTTGGTAGTTGCTGTGGTGCTCGTTGCGTTTACGCGGACGACGACGGTATCCAAAACACGAGCTTGACACGGCAGGGTCGTGTACGTGTACGTGTACGTGGACCTGTCCCCCTGATCCTTGTCGCATTTGGGCCCTGTCGGCAGGGAAATTGGCACTCCATGACAAAGCCGGTGAAGGGCTTGTTCGGTGATCTGTCCATCCAGTTGGACCCAGTATTCCTTCTCGACCGATGTGCGACGCACCCTCTCCGATACGGTTCCATCCGTGGTCAGGAGGAGCAACCCTTCGGAATCTTCGTCCAACCGACCAATGGCCATGGTTCCCATGGGCCATTTCAATGGTATCGGTACTGGTTCACTCGAATCGGCAGTGCAAGTGGGAGTGCCACGGAGGACATCTCCCAACAAGGTTCTCTTTTTGCGTGTTCGATGGGTGAACACAAACTGCGTCAATACCTTGGCAGGTTTGTACAGTTTGAAGTGCTGGTGTTTACTTGTTGTATCTTTACTATTGTGATTCGCAGGGAGGACGCCAGTTGTTACGGTGGTGGTGGCGCCACCTTCTATCGGGAGCAAGGGAGGCCTACCATTGTTATTTAAATTGCCATGGGAGTGGGCTCGAACTCGAGCTCGACTGTCCTGACCCTCCATTGCCGTCAGCTGCTCAATTGATCCAAAAGGATACCGCCAGTACCGTACAGTAGTTGTATCTAACTAGCTAGCCTCTCCCAATTGAGAAAACTTGAATGTGGCAACAGATCACGTACGATACTTGTACGCCGACCAATTGGTTTCAAGTGAGAGTTGAGAGGTGGGGACCACTTGCCGTCGCAACCAGAGGTCTGTTGGAAGCTCCACCTTTACAGTGCAACGCCCATGGGTGTCCTGCGTTGCACTGTGATGGTCGGCAAGTCAATGGACTTCTCGTCGTTGAGAAGGGTGGTCCACACGTCCACACCGTGGTCACACGTTGTTGTTGTTGTTGCTGTTGACACACTTTTCATTTTTCGATTTCGTCTTTCCGATTCGAAGCATGACTCGACGTCAAAACGGAGGGAAGCGGGAACCTTGGGAAGGCACCTGACGATCCTCCAGTGGGCCAGAGCGCCAGACCACATATCATGGTTTGCTCCCGGGAAGAATCAACTTGTGACATGGCTGCGAAGGGTGGACATCTTGCAGTGCTATGTGGGCAAGAGAAAACGGCTGCCCCTGGAGAGGCACTGTTTGTTCCCGGGCTGCAGGAGGTGGCCATTTGAGAGTCTTGAAATGGGCTCGGGAGAATGGCTGCAGTTGGAGCAGCTTGACCTCCGTTGATGCTGCACGACAAGGGCACTTGCGTGTGTTGAAATGGGTACATGATAATGGTGGCTTCTGGCATGAGGATACCTGTGCCGCGGCTGCTTTGGGGGGTCATTTGGAAGTGCTTCAATACCTTCGTGAAAATGATTGCCCAGGGGATTTCCACACTCTGCGCAATGCTGAAGAAAAAGGACATTCTGAAGTTTACCACTGGGCTATGGTCAATGGCTATCACTGGAGCCTTGTCGCTGACTAGCCGGATAGCCAAATGTAAGAGAGAGTAGAAATAAATAATCCCCCAATCCGTCTACTAGCTACTGAGTACGGCCGCCTACTAGCCAGAGAACGTTCCAAGAAAAAAACGGAAGCCTTTGCTCGTCCAGATCCCTAAGCAAGCAATGACTTTCCCATACGGTAGGCCTGTTTCTAGCATGTTTTCGGCTCCAGGGCGGGAGAGAATAAGCTACTTGGCAACATTCATAAGCTTACACAACTCCAAGAGTGACCAGTGAAATGTCCAAGAGCTCCCCCAGCACATTTTGGAGGATCTTTCTCGGAAGGTGGTCGAGGTGCGGTCACGAATCCTACGGACTCAACGCAGGTGGTCCGTGCTTCAGTCAACCTGCATCTTCCAGTTGTTGACGGGAACCACTGCGGAACATGGAAGCGGTCCATCATAGTTTGGATAGACGTCCATTGCTATCGCTACTGTGGTGATTGGAAACGTCTCTTTATTCGCTGGAGTTGCTACTGGTAGCAATCTGTCTACTTGATCGTTGCATGTAACCAATCGAAGGAGCACTCTCACAAAAATCGTTGGAACAGATCGACGCGCTGCTAGTAGCTAGAAAGGGCACTCTTAGAGCTAGCAAGATGGACGACGATGGCATCACGGATCAATGGGATAACTGCAGCAAGTTAGATGTGTACCTTGGTGACCCGGCAAACCTGTCCAATGAGCTGAATCGTGTCAGGAAGAAGACTGGCCTTGGTAGCATGAAGGCTCTCCATTTCCACATTGATCCATCACGAGTGCATACCACAGCATCCATGTTGACCTTTTTCAAGCGCATCCTTAGCCTAGTGCCACAAATCACCAAGATCCACATTGGAAGTCATGAAATCTTGCAAATCATTGGAAGAGGTGGATCCGCCAAAATCCCAGTCTCGGTGGTGATTGCCATTATTGAGCAGTTGCTGCGCCGCCGACGCTATCCGCTCGGTTGTGTGAGATTCTTCAATGTCAAATTGGAGGGCAGCTGGCAGGACTTTCAGAATTTTGGATCTGTGGTTCGGCGCATTGACCATCTGGAACGATTTAATCTGGATAAGGTCACGCTGTTGGATACAGTACCGCCATCGCAGGTTCCTCCGAATGCTACCCCTGGCTGTTGGTTGGATCCTGTCATGCAAGCCGTGGCTTCCCTACCTCGCTTGAAGCACTTAAGAGTCCTGGGAAGTTCTGATTTTGGTCTCATGAATGCCTTGACGGGACGCCTAGAGG